CTGAGTTTGGCCACAGCACAGTACCCCTTGCCAGAAAAGGCAACTTGCTCATTTCCTGTGATCCAGAGTGAGTGAGTTGAGTTAAATGCCGTATTTCCGATTATGTGGAAAAAAGGCCAAAGTGACGCTAATCGGACCACTTTACCACTTGCAGAGCCAGTAGAACGGTTATGGTTCTGATAAACCTGGAACCGTTACCACGGAGAACGTGGATTCCAACCCACGATCAAAGGTTTCTATAGCAACGAATGATGCAACTGTGCACAAGGAATTGCGGCTCCTTGGACGACAAGGGTCTAGAATCTTCAGAGTGAGTGAGTTTAGTTTTACGCCGCTTTTAGCACTATTCCAGCAATATCACGGCGGGAGACACCAGAAATGGGCTTCACACATGTGGGGAATCGAGCCCGGGTCTTCGGCTTGACGAACGAATGCTTTAACCACAAGGCTACCCCAAATCTCTCTTCAAAATGTCTATGACGTAATTATGTCAGAATTATCGACTAAGTGATATTAAAGACCCTTAGATTGGACTTGCTCATCTTCTATTGTCCTCGATGCTAATCTGGTCTGGTCTTGTTAATTTGCAGCATCTTTTAGTCAAGAAAAACAAAACATTTTGCTGAATGTTTAAACTTAATTTGTGATGGAGGAGGTTAAAAAGTTTACATTTCGCATGCATTGCGATGTAATTGTCAGATACCAAATCATCTTGTCCGATTCCAGTATAATTTGACTCCGTGATAGCGGGAACGCGATACCTTTTTAGTGCAAGATTGAATTTATTCTCTTCTTTATTCGGTGAACCTGTTATTTTGCGACAAGGAGACTGAGAAAAGACGTAAGCGCTCCATAAAGAGAATCTAAATTGCTTTTCAATTGATAAAAGCGTCAATACCATTTCAGGATGGAATTTAGTTTTTCTTCTCTGGTTCTTGCGGAAGGTTTTTGAATGGAACATTTTTGTAGCCATTATTATTAAATATAGTATGACCAGAAATAATTGAGAATTTTAGGAATATGTTTAATTGGATTTCTAGTATAAACAACCTTGACCAGCTATCAAGTGCTTGGTTTCATCCGTTAATCCTTTTTCATTAGTTTGTGAAGAGTTATCCCCCTTTGTTTACTTGCTAGCAGACGACATTTTCAGTGATCCTCAGTATGGATGATTTAGATAAGAGGAAGCTGATTTTTGAGTATTATAACAAGGACATCAGATCAGCTAAAGTGATTTCAAGTAGAACAGGCATCCCTTTGTCCACTGTTGATCGTGTTTTGAAAAATATTGCAAATGGATATGGCATTGAGCACCAGGGAGGCGCAGGTAGGCCCAGAAAATTGACTATCGGTGGCAGGAGGCGGCTTGGTATTCTTGTTTCTAAAATCAAACGAAGGAGTTTAGAAATCTTAAGGCTGGATATGATTGATAGAGGAACTGTGGTTGTCTGTAAGGAGACAATTAGAACTGAGCTGCATGCAATGGGTTGGCAGAAAAGTCGAGGAATTCCATCACCGATCATGAAACCTGAACAAAAGGAGCGAAGGTTGAACTGGTGCTTACAGCATAGAAATTTTAACTGGGACAATGAGATTTTCTCAGATGAAAGGTCTGTGTGGGTGTTTCCTAATACACTAAAATTCTGGACCCACAAACTGAAAAACCTTTGTATCAGCGCCCAAAGTACAGTACGAAATTTAACGTGTGGGGTGACATATCTGTGTATGAAGGAAAGTGTCAATAAGAAAAATCTGACAACTATTGCTGAAATGAAAGAAGAGGTGGTCCGATATTGGGACAGCATGGACCGCGACTTTCTAACTTCTTTGATCAGTAGTATGCCCTGCCGCATTGAAGCCTGCATTGCTGCCCATGGTGACTTGACAAAATACTAACTGTTCACCTGTCTTTGAATCTGGAGTTATGTTCTGCTAATATTCACATTTATTACGTGAGTAATGAGTGAAAAAAATATAACAAATTACAATCTTTAATTTCTGGTTGTACTGTAATTAGCATTAAATGCATATAGTCACAAACATAGTAATATCACCGCTTTAAGTACACACACAGTGTATCGACATGCAAAGATTAAAATAACTAGATACCACGTATATATATGTTTGTTATATTACATACATTTTGCTTACATGTCTTCTCTAGCTACCTCCACGCACAAATAATGGCAAATATACAAAAGGGTCACAATAACTACGGACGCAAATAGAAATATTCAATTCAATGTAGATTCACCTCTTTTACCTTCACTATATCTTTAATTCAATAATATGTGATCCGACGTTACTTCAGTAATGGCTATGCAAACAAGACACCTTCAAAGATTGGTTGGTTTGTAGTTTACACCGCACTCAGCAATATTCCAGATGGCGGCGGTCTAAATAATCGAGTCTGGACCAGACAATCCAGTGATCAACACCATGCACGAGCATCGATCTGAACAACTGGGATACGATAACATGTGTCAACCAAGCCAGCGACCACCCGATCTTGTTAGTCGCCTCTTACAAGCATGGGATACTGAATGATCAGTTGTAACTCGGATCTTCACGGGTCAAGTGTGGCGAAACTCATTCACTCATACAACATGATTTCCTGCGTGATCATATTGTTCGTTATTTTCACACTGGCTGTTCGAATTCTTCTGAGGTTAATGTTCAGATATATGTCGGTACTTTTCCAAGTTTTCCAAGTTTCAAGCCCTTTGGCAGAGATTGTCCCAAAGAGCCTAAAGTGCATGTCAACAACGGGTATTAAGAATTCGAAATATTTCCATTGTTATGTTTTGTCTTCGAGAATAGTAAATACAAATAGGATTTTTTCTAAACCTTTTATTACGTAGATGTACATAAATATATGTCAGTATATACACTGTAGCTGAAGTTCTACACATAAAACTAAAAGCTAAACAAAGATGAACGAACTTCTGCTCTGTCTGTCAGGATTAACCCCACAGTGTTTAGCCACAGGAAGAGTTGTGTCACATAGAACCACCACCGCTAGATGTCGCTACGTTTCCGGAAACTTCCGTTATCCAGTTATTGACGATCTTCTCTAAGAGACTTAGAGGGACTGGGCCATTCTCCAGAATCTGGCTATGGAAGTCTCCTATATCGAATTTGGAACCTGAAATGATTAAACGGACATTGTTGAAAGCTAAATACCTAATACTTGAAGACCATGTCTATATTATGAACCTATACCATTTCTGAAATCTCTGAATGGAGACAATTATGATTTATGATTTCGGGGGCTCTTCCCCAACAAGAGGATAAAGAACACATATGCACGTGTCCTAATATGCGTTTAATGTTACTTTAAGGCGCATGAACCACAACAATCAAACAAATGAGTACTCAATAGCTAGGCGTAATAGTCGTTATTGTAGGAGGGAATTTCCTGTTTTGGCATGTCAGTTAAAGCATTAACGAAGTCAACTGGGACAAACCTAGTTTTCTCCTCGCAGTTTGTCGCAGTTCCTTAATTTTTAGTTCCCCAATCTTGTATGCACATGCTTGACCTGGTAAGGTGATGTAGCGGTCTATTTCGAACTCTATTTCAGTCCGGCCAATCGGAGTGTGGTCAGCCATGTACGTAATGGCCTCCTGACGTGTCCACCTTGGAATGGTTTTCCTCAAGCATTAACACACTTACATTTCCTTGACACTGTAGCAGACAGAATAATTATTTGAACATCGATCCAAGATGGCTTGGTACTTGAGCCTGTTTCTCCGTATCTCCAAGAACATAAAGGTCGATGACCTGGGATACTATCTATTCTAGGTTCTAATGAAGTTTGTTGTTTAACGCTGCACTCAGCTTTATTGCGTTTATATGTATACATGAAGTTGCCGATCCATCTTGGTCGCCTCTTACGACCAGAATGTGATGCTGGGCTAAATATTTTAAACCGGGATATCCACCTGGGAAATGAAGTGTCCGTGATATGAGGACGTTGGTAAATAGAGATAAACATTTAGCATATAAAGCTGATTTAGTGGATGGGCGTTGCAATATTGCGACTTCGATGGCGACCAAAGACAGATATAATTGACATGCATGCACGCACGCACGCACGCACGCACGCACGCACGCACGCACGCACTCACGCACGCACGCACTCTTGTGAAACACCGTTGCGTCGAAGTTGATTGGACATAAGTAAATATTTCGCGTAGTCCAAGGTTCGATATAAACACAAAATGGCATCCTACATCGGCTTCTTCCTAAGTCCCTGTGACTGACAACTCTAGGCTATTTTTGCAGCGTTATACCAAGCAGAAATCAGACAATAGCTAGACAATGACAAAGACCCTGCCGCCATCTGATGACACACTGTTTTCTGCTCTGTAACCAAGTCTCCATCCTTCTAATGTGACAGACACCTCCATCATCACATCTATGCGCTCAGAGAGGGTATAATCTTTGAAGCTTGGGGAGACTGTTAACTCTACCTTGTAATATATTTCTCCAATGACATGTACTTGATGCTACCACCGCCGACGTTGATGGTCCATCTGTTGTTCAGTGATGTACACAGATACATTACGATAACACTACATGTCTGTAGATTACATCTTATGGCTTGCAAGAAGTTTTTATGTGTTGGATCCGCTACTCCAAATTGTATGGTTTACGGTGAATGCGGGAGATATCCTATGTATATTAATTCGCAAATACGATGCCTTAAATATTGGTTTAAGATTCTGTTAATGCATGAAAGTCGTCTACCAAAAATATCTTATAATATGATGGTTCATCTAGATAATATGGGTAAAATATCTTGTGCATCACATATTAGAAATCTTTTGTTTTCTCATGGATATGGGTTTATATGGATAAGCCAGGGTGTGGGCGATGTCTTTATGTTTTTAAAAGAATTTCGTGATCGAGCGGTAAACATGTTTCATCAGGAATGGCATTTCACTCTAGAAAGCAGCTCTCGTTACGAATTATATAGAGCATTTAAAAACCTATTACAACCTAAACTGTATTTATCTAAACTTACTTTAAAGTGTAACAGAAATATATTTGTCAAATATAGGACAGGTTTGTTGGACTTAATGGTAAATAGAGGCAGAAAATGGTCCATCCCAAAATCTGAAAGATCTTGTCCTTTATGTAATTCTTCAGTAGAAGATGAACTACATTTTACCCTTGACTGTCCATTTTATGAAGATTTACGTTACATGTATATCTCAGAACGTTATCTGTCGGAACCACCACTGATAGCTTTTACAAGTTTATTAACAACTAATTATGAATCCACCCTACGCAATCTAGCTCTCTATGTTAAATATGCATTTATTCGTCGTAACGAGCACTTACAGTTAACCATGTCCTAATGTATATAACTCGCTTGTATAAGGGCCGGTGGCCTAAAATACAATAAACGATTGTCTTGTCTTGATAACACTACATGTCTGCTGGTACATTGAAGACATTGCAGGAACTCACCCAAAGTAATGTATTCCCGTATCAACTACCAGTCTGCACGCACGGAATATCTCTTCCCCATATCGACCAAGCCTGAAATAAATGAGGAAAGAAACAAACAAAATCATGGGCATAAAAGTCTTAAGCAGAAAGGGTTGAAATATCTGTGCCTTCCTTTTCATGTCATATTAATGCATTTGATGATTTTTACAACATATAAAGTAACATGAATTTCGCATACGGCGCTCATTGAATTCTCAGTTTTCAAAGGAGTATAAAAACAACTCGAGTTGCTTGCTTGTTGTTTGGAAGGTCTGTATTGACGTTACCATCTAGCACTGGTGTGCAGCGTCTGGCTGTAGGGGCGGCGGGTAGCCTAGTGGTTAAAGCTTTCGCTCGTCACGCCGAAGACCCAGGTTCGATTCCCCACATAGGTACAATGTGTGAAGCCCATTTATGGTGTCCCCCGCCGTGATATTGCTGGAATATTGCTCAAAGCGGCGTAAAGCTTGTGTCTTGTGGTCACCCTCGGTCTGCCACTACGGGAGCGATCATTTGTGGTGTTGGTGGCCCGGAAATGTTGCTGCAGCCTGTAGATGGTCCGACCATTGACCTGGAAGTGATTGGCAACGGCTTGTGCAGTGTGGCCAGCTTCAAGTCTTCCTAGCGCCTGGCGTTTTACATTTTCAATAGGATACATATTGTGGAATTGGTGAACATTTTGACACCCCTTTTCACTTCCAAAGGTATATAAACTCCAAATCTCCATGGACCAATAGGATTGGTGTGGGGTATATCTTTGTATATGTTTGTCGCAATATAATAGGTTGGTTGGTTTGTTGATTAACGTCGCACTCAGCAATATTCCAGCTATTTGGTGGCGGTCTGTAAATAATCGAGTCTGGACCAGACAACCCAGTGATCAACATCATGAGCATCGATCTACGCAACTGAGATACGGTGACATGTGTCCACCAAGTCAGCGAGCCTGACCACCCGATGGCGCGATATACAGTATTATAGACTGCTTTCATACTCACATTTCGTTATCGTCTTTATAGATACCTAAATATTCCCCTAGTGATTCTGAATATAGACCCCATCCCTGAAAAACAAATACATCAAAATAAACGTCCCATAAGGAAGTCAGTCTGGAATGAGATATTGGTCTGCAGTGAGAGAGCATACCCTATGCAATTTACAATTGATATATTACAATAGCATGATCTCATTAGGGATGAATCTCTTGCTATAGCCTCCAAGAAAAAAACAATGCTATATTGAATATATCAAAACGGACCTAATCGAAAATGATCTGGAAATTCAGTCAATATGAGGTATTGCATATTCTCATTATTTCTGTGAACTATCGTGGAATTAAATACTATCGCATCAGCTCAGTCAGAGAGTTATTGGGCGCAGTTGCCCCAGGTCATCAATGCATCTTCTTCTTCTGATAACAAGATCTTCTTCAGACTGTTCTCGCTGAAGTGATTTAAGAGCCAAATGACTATGTCTACATTTAAGTGAATTTAATGTAAAAACATTCTGTATGCTAACGACATTTGAGTCGAAACGACTTGTAAGAACTGTAACTATGTGTTTTCTTATTCAATTTTTATTTTAAAAAATAGGAAATATCTAATGAATTGGAAACATGAGCCAGAAAATGACGTAAAGAGCCCTGACTTCATTGTTACACTGCATCAAGATGGATCGATACAACAATGACTAGATCGAAGATTATCTAGGATTCAGTTAAGTATGACTCTTTGTTATGACATACGTTGAGTAGTAATATGATACCACAGCAGCCCAACAAATTATTTAATGGTCATAGAATACCTGGGATTCCGACGCAATATTCTTGTTCTGATGCCAGTTTGTTCTTGTTCCGATGTACATTTGGTGACAAATGAAGTTTGAAAGGAACCACTGTACACACTATTGCAGATTGACAATCTAGGTCCCTCTGTCTGGCTGTGTTAATGTGTGTTAGTATTAGTGTCAGTGTGTGTTAGTGTCAGTGTGTGTTAGTGTGTGTGTTAGTGTGTGTGTGTTTTTGTTTGTTGTTGTTGTTTTTGTGTGTGTGCGCGTGAAACTGAGATATTTATTTTGGATGTCATTAATTGTTAGATGGGTATATATCATAACTTAGTCTTATATAATACAATTTGTGTTTCTAGTTTCGACAGCTCACCCCATTCTTATTTGAATGTGCACCCCACGCAGCTACTCACCTCAGTATAGGCCGTGTAAAACGGAAAGTGGTATGGAACCGCAAAGTATTTCTCATATTCAATATTCCTCTGGAAGTCGGGCAGACTGGCAGTGAGAGCGTACACCGACTGAAACGGTGGAGAACAGAAGGTATTCACTCATCATATGGAAGGGAGTGTTGTTATACATGTACCCGCGATCTGAGAACGTGTTTATTCCCCTAATGACAGCTACACACCTGTAAATGGTGACCAGGTACCGTCTCGTGAAGTGTCAATGCCATCATGCTGAACGTGTTCCTGAAAGGAAATATACCAACAAAGCTGAGAATCGGAATACGTTACATACTTTAAGATAATTTATTACCTACGAGGGCGAACATATCGGGGTTCATATTTTTCATACGATGCCCTAGGGCAAAATATCACTTTGTCATGGTGACGTGATGTCATGAACAATGCTTTGACGTCACGTTTCATCAGTGACGTTGCGTTCTACATGCGGCAAAGGCGTGTAGCCTGCCTATGTTTTAAAGTAGATTTTGGTTTATTTACCTCAATTTGACGACTTCGGTAATAAACAGAATATTATATTCGTGCCCATATCATACTATGTTTACGACACTCATGTCTAAATATCGGTATATCCCTCGCTCTCGCTCGGGAAATACCAACATTTTGGCACTCGTGTCGTAAACATAGTATGACATAGGCACTCATATAATATCCTCTATGTAATTCTGATATACAGGTATTGTCTCAAAAATGAAGATGTGGAGAAATAATTTTCAGTGACACAAGACCAGTGAAGATCCGGATTAGAACTGATCTTCAGCAATCAATGACACAATAAAGCGTATTGGAAGCGATGTCTCACGACATAGTATTGACATAGTGGTCTGTTTTAACGGTTCCATTCACTGATGCTGTGACGCAAATATTTTGAACTAGTGTAACTTTGCAAGCGCCTTTAAGGACAGTATACTATTATGCTGGTTGTTAAGTTATTACCTATAGGAGTGATATTTTACTGAATATATATAACCATCAGAGGCTGGCAAAGAAGATTCACACAAACACAATTAATCGAAGTGTAATGTTGGTTCAGCATACATTAGATGTCTCTTCATCAAGGATTGGCATTATCACAAGCATCAAGATCGCGAATCTTACTGAATGTATATTCTTATGAGGCTTAATATGCGAGTGCAGTAATGTACATGAACAGTTCATCTTACGTTTCCACATGGCAGCATGGAGGACAGACTTAAACGATGGGGATATTTGTGAAAAATTGTGGTGACCGTGGTAATATTTACATATCGATCTATACGCCCTTGTTTGTTTGTTTGTTGTTTAACGTCGCACTCAGCAATATTCCAGCTCTATGGCGGCGGTCTGTAAACAATCGAGTCTGGACCAGACAATCCAGTGATCAACAGCATGAGCATCGATCTGCGTAATTGGCATACGATGACATGTATCAACCAAGTCAGCGAGCCTGACCACCCGATCACGTTAGTCGCCTCTTACGACAAGCATGGGTTGCTGAAGACCAGTTCTAACCCGGATCTTCACGGGTTCCTTAAAAATTAACTTGTGTTTGTGACGGATTCCATCTGCGGAGCAGGATACGCTCTCCGTTTTCGCGAACTATTTGATAGTGATTTATAAAAGAAATGTTTTATATATAATCGGAAGTGTCGGTTTATTTCTCTCGATCATGTAAAGGGTTTTGATACTGTTATCATTGAATTTACGACAGAAAACCGAGTCTGTTATTCCTGTTTATTGAATGAACGTGTTAACGTCGATGAAGCGTACTGTACTGTAAATAGCATTAAATGCATATAGTCACAAACATAGTAATATCACCGCTTTAAGTACACACACAGTGTATCGACATGCAAAGATTAAAATAACTAGATACCACGTATATATATATGTTTGTTATATTACATACATTTTGCTTACATGTCTTCTAGCTACCTCCACGCACAAATAATGGCAAATATACAAAAGGGTCACAATAACTACGGACGCAAATAAAAATATTCAATTCAATGTAGATTCACCTCTTTTACCTTCACTATATCTTTAATTCAATAATATGTGATCCGACGTTACTTCAGTAATGGCTATGCAAACAAGACACCTTCAAAGATTGGTTGGTTTGTAGTTTACACCGCACTCAGCAATATTCCAGATGGCGGCGGTCTAAATAATCGAGTCTGGACCAGACAATCCAGTGATCAACACCATGCACGAGCATCGATCTGAACAACTGGGATACGATAACATGTGTCAACCAAGCCAGCGACCACCCGATCTTGTTAGTCGCCTCTTACAAGCATGGGATACTGAATGGTCAGTTGTAACTCGGATCTTCACGGGTCAAGTGTGGCGAAACCCATTCACTCATACAACATGATTTCCTGCGTGATCATATTGTTCGTTATTTTCACACTGGCTGTTCGAATTCTTCTGAGGTTAATGTTCAGATATATGTCGGTACTTTTCCAAGTTTTCCAAGTTTCAAGCCCTTTGGCAGAGATTGTCCCAAAGAGCCTAAAGTGCATGTCAACAACGGGTATTAAGAATTCGAAATATTTCCATTGTTATGTTTTGTCTTCGAGAATAGTAAATACAAATAGGATTTTTTTCTAAACCTTTTATTACGTAGATGTACATAAATATATGTCAGTATATACACTGTAGCTGAAGTTCTACACATAAAACTAAAAGCTAAACAAAGATGAACGAACTTCTGCTCTGTCTGTCAGGATTAACCCCACAGTGTTTAGCCACAGAAAGAGTTGTGTCACATGGAACCGCCACCGCTAGATGTCGCTACGTTTCCGGAAACTTCCGTTATCCAGTTATTGACGATCTTCTCTAAGAGACTTAGAGGGACTGGGCCATTCTCCAGAATCTGGCTATGGAAGTCTCCTATATCGAATTTGGAACCTGAAATGATTAAGCGGACATTGTTAAAAGCTAAATACCTAATACTTGAAGACCATGTCTATATTATGAACCTATACCATGTCTGAAATCTCTGAATGGAGACAATTATGATTTATGATTTCGGGGGCTCTTCCCCAGCAAGAGGATAAAGAACACATATGCACGTGTCCTAATATGCGTTTAATATTACTTTAAGGCGAATGAATCACAACAATCGAACAAACGAGTACGCAATAGCTAAGTGTAATAGTCGTTATTGTAGGAGGGAATTTCCTGTTTTGGCATGTCAGTTAAAGTATTAACGAAGTCAACTGGGACGAACCTAGTTTTCTCCTCGCAGTTTGTCGCAGTTCCTTAATTTTTAGTTCCCCAATCTTGTATGCACATGCTTGACCTGGTAAGGTGATGTAGCGGTCTATTTCGGACTCAATTTCAGTCCGGCCAATCGGAGTGTGGTCAGCCATGTACGTAATGGCCTCCTGACGTGTCCACCTTCGCCAGGAAACAAAACAGACATGGTCATTACCTAAATACATAGACTCGTAATCAAATACCAGCTTTGATAACACAGCAAGGATGTAATGGTTTTCCTCAAGCATTAACACACTTACATTTTATTGACACTGTAGCAGACAGAATAATTATTTGAACATCGATCCAAGATGGTTTGGTACTTGAGCCTGTTTCTCCGTATCTCCAAGAACATAAAGGTCAATGACCTGGGATACTATCTATTCTAAGTTCTAATGAAGTTTGTTGTTTAACGCTACACTTAGCTTTATTACGTTTAGATGTATACATGAAGTTGCCGATCCATCTTGGTCGCCTCTTACGACCAGCATGTGATGCTGGGCTAAATATTTTAAACCGGGATATCCACCTGGGAAATGAAGTGTCCGTGAAATGAGGACGTTGGTATTTCGGGATAAACATTTAGCATATAAAGTAGGTAGAGATCTCGGACGTCAGATCTATAAAAATTAGTGGGTGGGAGTTGCAATATTGCGACTTCGATGGCGACCAAAGACAGATATAATTGACACCCACGCACGCACGCACGCACGCACGCACGCACGCACGCACGCACGCACGCACTCTTGTGAAACACCGTTGTGTCGAAGTTGATTGGACATACGTAAATATTTCGCGTAGTCCAAGGTTCGATATAACCACAAAATGGCATGACACATCGGCTTCTTCCTAAGTCCCTGTGACTGACAACTCTAGGCTATTTTTGCAGCGTTATACCAAGCAGAAATCAGACAATAGCTAGACAATGACAAAGACCCTGCCGCCATCTGATGACACACTGTTTTCTGCTCTGTAACCAAGTCTCCATCCTTCTAATGTGACAGACACCTCCATCATCACATCTATGCGCTCAGAGAGGGTATAATCTTTGAAGCTTGGGGAGACTGTTAACTCTACCTTGCAATATATTTCTCCAATGACATGTACTTGATGCTACCACCGCCGACGTTGATGGTCCATCTGTTGTTCAGTGATGTACACAGATACATTACGATAACACTACATGTCTGTAGATTTCATCTTATGGCTTGCAAGAAGTTTTTATGTGTTGGATCCGCTACTCCAAATTGTATGGTTTACGGTGAATGCGGGAGATATCCTATGTATATTAATTCGCAAATACGATGCCTTAAATATTGGTTTAAGATTCTGTTAATGCATGAAAGTCGTCTACCAAAAATATCTTATAATATGATGGTTCATCTAGATAATATGGGTAAAATATCTTGTGCATCACATATTAGAAATCTTTTGTTTTCTCATGGATATGGGTTTATATGGATAAGCCAGGGTGTGGGCGATGTCTTTATGTTTTTAAAAGAATTTCGTGATCGAGCGGTAAACATGTTTCATCAGGAATGGCATTTCACTCTAGAAAGCAGCTCTCGTTACGAATTATATAGAGCATTTAAAAACCTATTACAACCTGAACTGTATTTATCTAAACTTACTTTAAAGTGTAACAGAAATATATTTGTCAAATATAGGACAGGTTTGTTGGACTTAATGGTAAATAGAGGCAGAAAACTGTCCATCCCAAAATCTGAAAGATCTTGTCCTTTATGTAATTCTTCAGTAGAAGATGAACTACATTTTACCCTTGACTGTCCATTTTATGAAGATTTACGTTACATGTATATCCCAGAACGTTAGCTGTCGGAACCACCACTGTTAGCTTTTACCAGTTTATTAACAACTAATAATGAATCCACCCTACGCAATCTAGCTCTCTATGTTAAATATGCATTTATTCGTCGTAACGAGCACTTACAGTTAACCATGTCCTAATGTATGTAACTCGCTTGTATAAGGGCCGGTGGCCTAAAATACAATAAACGATTGTCTTGTCTTGATAACACTACATGTCTGCTGGTACAGTGAAGACATTGCAGGAACTCACCCAAAGTAATGTATTCCCGTGTCAACTACCAGTCTGCACGCACGGAATATCTCTTCCCCATATCGACCAAGCCTGAAATAAATGAGGAAAGAAACACACAAAATCATGGGCATAAAAGTCTTAAGCAGAAAGGGTTGAAATATCTGTGCCTTCCTTTTCATGTCATATTCATGCATTTGATGATTTTTACAACATATAAAGTAACATGAATTTCGCATACGGCGCTCATTGAATTCTCAGTTTTCAAAGGAGTATAAAAACAACTCGAGTTGCTTGCTTGTTGTTTGGAAGGTCTGTATTGACGTTACCATCTAGCACTGGCATCTGGCTGTAGCGGCTGTGGGTAGCCTAGTGGTTAAAGCTTTCGCTCGTCACGCCGAAGACCCGGGTTCGATTCCCCACATAGGTACAATGTGTGAAGCCCATTTATGGTGTCCCCCGCCGTGATGTTGCTGGAATATTGCTCAAAGCGGCGTAAAGCTTGTGTCTTGTGGTCACCCTTGGTCTGCCACTACGGGGGCGATCATTTGTGGTGTTGGTGGCCCGGAAATGTTGCTGCAGCCTGTAGATGGTCCGACCATTGACCTGGAAGTGATTGGCAACGGCTTGTGCAGTGTGGCCAGCTTCAACTCTTCCTAGCGCCTGGCGTTTTACATTTTCAATAGGATACATATGTGGAATTGGTGAACATTTCACTTCCAAAGGTATATAAACTCCAAATCCCCATGGACCAATAGGATTGGTGTGGGGTATATGTTTGTATATGTTTGTCGCAATATAATAGGTTGGTTGGTTTGTTGATTAACGTCGCACTCAGCAATATTCCAGCTATTTGGTGGCGGTCTGTAAATAATCGAGTCTGGACCAGACAACCCAGTGATCAACATCATGAGCATCGATCTACGCAACTGAGATACGGTGACATGTGTCCACCAAGTCAGCGAGCCTGACCACCCGATGGCGCGATATACAGTATTATAGACTGCTTTCATACTCACATTTCGTTATCGTCTTTATAGATACCTAAATATTCTCCTAGTGATTCTGAATATAGACCCCATCCCTGAAAAACAAATACATCAAAATAAACGTCCCATAAAGAAGTCAGTCTGGAATGAGATATTCGTCTGCAGTGAGAGAGCATACCATATGCAATTTACAATTGATATATTACAATAGCATGATCTCATTAGGGATGAATCTCTTGCTATAGCCTCAAAGAAAAAAAACAATGCTATATTGAATATATCAAAACGGACCTAATCGAAAATGATCTGGAAATTCAGTCAATATGAGGTATTGCATATTCTCATTATTTCTGTGAACTATCGTGGAATTAAATACTATCGCATCAGCTCAGTCAGAGAGTTATTGGGCGCAGTTGCCCCAGGTCATCAATGCATCTTCTTCTTCTGATAACAAGATCTTCTTCAGACTGTTCTCGCTGAAGTGATTTAAGAGCCAAATGACTATGTCTGCATTTAAGTGAATTTAATGTAAAAACATTCTGTATGCTAACGACATTTGAGTCAAAACGACTTGTAAGAACTGTAACTATGGGTTTTCTTATTCAATTCTATTTTAAAAAATAGGAAATATCTAATGAATTGGAAACATGAGCCAGAAAATGACGTAAAGAGCCCTGACTTCATTGTTACACTGCATCAAGATGGATCGATACAACAATGACTAGATCGAAGATTATCTAGGATTCAGTTAAGTATGACTCTTTGTTATGACATACGTTGAGTAGTAATATGATACCACAGCAGCCCAACAAATGATTTAATGGTCTTAGAATACCTGGGATTCCGACGCAATATTCTTGTTCTGATGCCAGTTTGTTCTTGTTCCGATGTACATTTGGAGACAATGAAGTTTGAGAGGAACCACTGTACACACTATTGCAGATTGACAATCTAGGTCCCTCTGTCTGGTTGTGTTAATGTGTGTTAGTATTAGTGTCAGTGTGTGTTAGTGTCAGTGTGTGTTAGTGTGTGTGTTAGTGTGTGAGTGTTTTTGTTTGTTGTTGTTGTTTTTGTGTGTGTGCGCGCGAAACTGAGATATTTATTTTGGATGTAATTAATTGTTAGATGGGTATATATCATAACTTAGTCTTATATAATACAATTTGTGTTTCTAGTTTCGACAGCTCACCCCATTCTTATTTGAATGTGCACCCCACGCAGCTACTCACCTCAGTATAGGCCGTGTAAAACGGAAAGTGGTATGGAACCGCAAAGTATTTCTCATATTCAATATTCCTCTGGAAGTCGGGCAGACTGGCAGTGAGAGCGTACACCGACTGAAACGGTGGAGAACAGAAGGTATTCACTCATCATATGGAAGGGAGTGTTGTTATACATGTACCCGCGATCTGCGAACGTGTTTATTCCCCTAATGACAGCTACACACCTGTAAATGGTGACCAGGTACCGTCTCGTGAAGTGTCAATGCCATCATGCTGAACGTGTTCCTGAAAGGAAATATACCAACAAAGCTGAGAAACGGAATACGTTACATACTTTAAGATAATTTATTACCTACGAGGGCGAACATATCGGGGTTCATATTTTTCATACGATGCCCTAGGGCAAAATATCACTTTGTCATGGTGACGTGATGTCATGAACAATGCTTTGACGTCACGTTTCATCAGTGACGTTGCGTTCTACATGCGGCAAAGGCGTGTAGCCTGCCTATGTTTTAAAGTAGATTTTGTTTTTTTACCTCAATTTGACGACTTCGGTAATAAACAGAATATTATATTCGTGCCCATATCATACTATGTTTACGACACTCATGTCTAAATATCGGTATATCCCTCGCTCTCGCTCGGGAAATACCAACATTTTGGCACTCGTGTCGTAAACATAGTATGACATGGGCACTTATATAATATCCTCTATGTAATTCTGATATACAGGTATTGTCTCAAAAATCAAGATGTGGAGAAATAATTTTCAGTGACACAAGACCAGTGAAGATCCGGATTAGAACTGATCTTCAGCAATCAATGACACAATAAAGCGTATTGGAAGCGATGTCTCACGACATAGTATTGACATAGTGGTCTGTTTTAACGGTTCCATTCACTGATGCTGTGACGCAAATATTTTGAACTAGTGTAACTTTGCAAGCGCCTTTAAGGACAGTATACTATTATGCTGGTTGTTAAGTTATTACCTATAGGAGTGATATTTTACTGAATCTATATAACCATCAGAGGCTGGCAAAGAAGATTCACACAAACACAATTAATCGAAGTGTAATGTTGGTTCAGCATACATTAGATGTCTCTTCATCAAGGATTGGCATTATCACAAGCATCAAGATCGCGAATCTTACTGAATGTATATTCTTATGAGGCTAAATATGCGAGTGCAGTAATGTACATGAACAGTTCATCTTACGTTTCCACATGGCAGCATGGAGGACAGACTTAAACGATGGGGATATTTGTGAAAAATTGTGGTGACCGTGGTAATATTTACATGTCGATCTATACGCCTTAACTTGTTTGTTTGTTTGTTGTTTTACGCCACACTCAGCAATATTCCAGCTATATGGCGGCGGTCTGTAAACAATCGAGTCTGGACCAGACAATCCAGTGATCAACAGCATGAGCATCGATCTGCGTAATTGGCATACGATGACATGTATCAACCAAGTCAGCGAGCCTGACCACCCGATCACGTTAGTCGCCTCTTACGACAAGCATGGGTTGCTGAAGACCAGTTCTAACCAGGATCTTCACGGGTTCCTTAAAAATTAACTTGTGTTTGTGACGGATTCCATCTGCGGAGCAGGATACGCTCTCCGTTTTCGCGAACTATTTGATAGTGATTTATAAAAGAAATGTTTTATATATAATCGGAAGTGTCGGTTTATTTCTCTCGATCATGTAAAGGGTTTTGATACTGTTATCATTGAATTTACGACAGAAAACCGAGTCTGTTATTCCTGTTTATTGAATGAACGTGTTAACGTCGATGAAGCGTACTGTACTGTAAATAGCATTAAATGCATATAGTCACAAACATAGTAATATCACCGCTTTAAGTACACACACAGTGTATCGACATGCAAAGATTAAAATAACTAGATACCACGTATATATATGTTTGTTATATTACATACATTTTGCTTACATGTCTTCTCTAGCTACCTCCACGCACAAATAATGGCAAATATACAAAAGGGTCACAATAACTACGGACGCAAATAGAAATATTCAATTCAATGTAGATTCACCTCTTTTACCTTCACTATATCTTTAATTCAATAATATGTGATCCGACGTTACTTCAGTAATGGCTATGCAAACAAGACACCTTCAAAGATTGGTTGGTTTGTAGTTTACACCGCACTCAGCAATATTCCAGATGGCGGCGGTCTAAATAATCGAGTCTGGACCAGACAATCCAGTGATCAACACCATGCACGAGCATCGATCTGAACAACTGGGATACGATAACATGTGTCAACCAAGCCAGCGACCACCCGATCTTGTTAGTCGCCTCTTACAAGCATGGGATACTGAATGGTCAGTTGTAACTCAGATCTTCACGGGTCAAGTGTGGCGAAACCCATTCACTCATACAACATGATTTCCTGCGTAATCATATTGTTCGTTATTTTCACACTGGCTGTTCGAATTCTTCTGAGGTTAATGTTCAGATATATGTCGGTACTTTTCCAAGTTTTCCAAGTTTCAAGCCCTTTGGCAGAGATTGTCCCAAAGAGCCTAAAGTGCATGTCAACAACGGGTATTAAGAATTCGAAATATTTCCATTGTTATGTTTTGTCTTCGAGAATAGTAAATACAAATAGGATTTTTTTCTAAACCTTTTATTACGTAGATGTACATAAATATATGTCAGTATATACACTGTAGCTGAAGTTCTACACATAAAACTAAAAGCTAAACAAAGATGAACGAACTTCTGCTCTGTCTGTCAGGATTAACCCCACAGTGTTTAGCCACAGAAAGAGTTGTGTCACATGGAACCACCACCGCTAGATGTCGCTACGTTTCCGGAAACTTCCGTTATCCAGTTATTGACGATCTTCTCTAAGAGACTTAGAGGGACTGGGCCATTCTCCAGAATCTGGCTATGGAAGTCTCCTATATCGAATTTGGAACCTGAAATGATTAAGCGGACATTGTTAAAAGCTAAATACCTAATACTTGAAGACCATGTCTATATTATGAACCTATACCATGTCTGAAATCTCTGAATGGAGACAATTATGATTTATGATTTCGGGGGCTCTTCCCCAACAAGAGGATAAAGAACACATATGCACGTGTCTTAATATGCGTTTAATATTACTTTAAGGCGAATGAATCACAACAATCGAACAAACGAGTACGCAATAGCTAAGTGTAATAGTCGTTATTGTAGGAGGGAATTTCCTGTTTTGGCATGTCAGTTAAAGTTTATTAACGAAGTCAACTGGGACGAACCTAGTTTTCTCCTCGCAGTTTGTCGCAGTTCCTTAATTTTTAGTTCCCCAATCTTGTATGCACATGCTTGACCTGGTAAGGTGATGTAGCGGTCTATTTCGGACTCTATTTCAGTCCGGCCAATCGGAGTGTGGTCAGCCATGTACGTAATGGCCTCCTGACGTGTCCACCTTCGCCAGGAAACAAAACAGACATGGTCATTACCTAAATACATAGACTCGTAATCAAATACCAGCTTTGATAACACAGCAAGGATGTAATGGTTTTCCTCAAGCATTAACACACTTACATTTTATTGACACTGTAGCAATCAGAATAATTATTTGAACATCGATCCAAGATGGTTTGGTACTTGAGCCTGTTTCTCCGTATCTCCAAGAACATAATGGTCGATGACCTGGGATACTATCTATTCTAAGTTCTAATGAAGTTTGTTGTTTAACGCTACACTTAGCTTTATTACGTTTAGATGTATACATGAAGTTGCCGATCTATCTTGGTCGCCTCTTACGACCAGCATGTGATGCTGGGCTAAATATTTTAAACCGGGATATCCACCTGGGAAATGAAGTGTCCGTGAAATGAGGACGTTGGTATTTCGGGATAAACATTTAGCATATAAAGTAGGTAGAGATCTCGGACGTCAGATCTATAAAAATTAGTGGATGGGAGTTGCAATATTGCGACTTCGATGGCGACCAAAGACAGATATAATTGACACCCACGCACGCACGCACGCACGCACGCACGCACGCACACCGTGTGTCGAAGTTGATTGGACATACGTAAATATTTCGCGTAGTCCAAGGTTCGATATAACCACAAAATGGCATGACACATCGGCTTCTTCCTAAGTCCCTGTGACTGACAACTCTAGGCTATTTTTGCAGCGTTATACCAAGCAGAAATCAGACAATAGCTAGACAATGACAAAGACCCTGCCGCCATCTGATAACACACTGTTTTCTGCTCTGTAACCAAGTCTCCATCCTTCTAATGTGACAGACACCTCCATCATCACATCTATGCGCTCAGAGAGGGTATAATCTTTGAAGCTTAGGGAGACTGTTAACTCTACCTTGCAATATATTTCTCCAATGACATGTACTTGATGCTACCACCGCCGACGTTGATGGGCCATCTGTTGTTCAGTGATGTACACAGATACATTACGATAACACTACATGTCTGTAGATTTCATCTTATGGCTTGCAAGAAGTTTTTATGTGTTGGATCCGCTACTCCAAATTGTATGGTTTACGGTGAATGCGGGAGATATCCTATGTATATTAATTCGCAAATACGATGCCTTAAATATTGGTTTAAGATTCTGTTAATGCATGAAAGTCGTCTACCAAAAATATCTTATAATATGATGGTTCATCTAGATAATATGGGTAAAATATCTTGTGCATCACATATTAGAAATCTTTTGTTTTCTCATGGATATGGGTTTATATGGATAAGCCAGGGTGTGGGCGATGTCTTTATGTTTTTAAAAGAATTTCGTGATCGAGCGGTAAACATGTTTCATCAGGAATGGCATTTCACTCTAGAAAGCAGCTCTCGTTACGAATTATATAGAGCATTTAAAAACCTATTACAACCTGAACTGTATTTATCTAAACTTACTTTTAAGTGTAACAGAAATATATTTGTCAAATATAGGACAGGTTTGTTGGACTTAATGGTAAATAGAGGCAGAAAACTGTCCATCCCAAAATCTGAAAGATCTTGTCCTTTATGTAATTCTTCAGTAGAAGATGAACTACATTTTACCCTTGACTGTCCATTTTATGAAGATTTACGTTACATGTATATCCCAGAACGTTAGCTGTCGGAACCACCACTGTTAGCTTTTACCAGTTTATTAACAACTAATAATGAATCCACCCTACGCAATCTAGCTCTCTATGTTAAATATGCATTTATTCGTCGTAACGAGCACTTACAGTTAACCATGTCCTAATGTATGTAACTCGCTTGTATAAGGGCCGGTGGCCTAAAATACAATAAACGATTGTCTTGTCTTGATAACACTACATGTCTGCTGGTACATTGAAGACATTGCAGGAACTCACCCAAAGTAATGTATTCCCGTGTCAACTACCAGTCTGCACGCACGGAATATCTCTTCCCCATATCGACCAAGCCTGAAATAAATGAGGAAAGAAACACACAAAATCATGGGCATAAAAGTCTTAAGCAGAAAGGGTTGAAATATCTGTGCCTTCCTTTTCATGTCATATTCATGCATTTGATGATTTTTACAACATATAAAGTAACATGAATTTCGCATACGGCGCTCATTGAATTCTCAGTTTTCAAAGGAGTATAAAAACAACTCGAGTTGCTTGCTTGTTGTTTGGAAGGTCTGTATTGACGTTACCATCTAGCACTGGCGTCTGGCTGTAGCGGCGGTGGGTAGCCTAGTGGTTAAAGCTTTCGCTCGTCACGCCGAAGACCCGGGTTCGATTCCCCACATAGGTACAATGTGTGAAGCCCATTTATGGTGTCCCCCGCCGTGATATTGCTGGAATATTGCTCAAAGCGGCGTAAAGCTTGTGTCTTGTGGTCACCCTTGGTCTGCCACTACGGGGGCGATCATTTGTGGTGTTGGTGGCCCGGAAATGTTGCTGCTGCCTGTAGATGGTCCGACCATTGACCTGGAAGTGATTGGCAACGGCTTGTGCAGTGTGGCCAGCTTCAAGTCTTCCTAGCGCCTGGCGTTTTACATTTTCAATAAGATACATATTGTGGAATTGGTGAACATTTCACTTCCAAAGGTATATAAACTCCAAATCTCCATGGACCAATAGGATTGGTGTGGGGTATATCTTTGTATATGTTGGTTGGTTTGTTGATTAACGTCGCACTCAGCAATATTCCAGCTATTTGGTGGCGGTCTGTAAATAATCGAGTCTGGACCAGACAACCCAGTGATCAACATCATGAGCATCGATCTACGCAACTGAGATACGGTGACATGTGTCCACCAAGTCAGCGAGCCTGACCACCCGATGGCGCGATATACAGTATTATAGACTGCTTTCATACTCACATTTCGTTATCGTCTTTATAGATACCTAAATATTCCCCTAGTGATTCTGAATATAGACCCCATCCCTGAAAAACAAATACATCAAAATAAACGTCCCATAAGGAAGTCAGTCTGGAATGAGATATTGGTCTGCAGTGAGAGAGCATACCCTATGCAATTTACAATTGATATATTACAATAGCATGATCTCATTAGGGATGAATCTCTTGCTATAGCCTCCAAGAAAAAAACAATGCTATATTGAATATATCAAAACGGACCTAATCGAAAATGATCTGGAAATTCAGTCAATATGAGGTATTGCATATTCTCATTATTTCTGTGAACTATCGTAGAATTAAATACTATCGCATCAGCTCAGTCAGAGAGTTATTGGGCGCAGTTGCCCCAGGTCATCAATGCATCTTCTTCTTCTGATAACAAGATCTTCTTCAGACTGTTCTCGCTGAAGTGATTTAAGAGCCAAATGACTATGTCTGCATTTAAGTGAATTTAATGTAAAAACATTCTGTATGCTAACGACATTTGAGTCAAAACGACTTGTAAGAACTGTAACTATGGGTTTTCTTATTCAATTCTTTTTTAAAAAATAGGAAATATCTAATGAATTGGAAACATGAGCCAGAAAATGACGTAAAGAGCCCTGACTTCATTGTTACACTGCATCAAGATGGATCGATACAACAATGACTAGATCGAAGATTATCTAGGATTCAGTTAAGTATGACTCTTTGTTATGACATACGTTGAGTAGTAATATGATACCACAGCAGCCCAACAAATGATTTAATGGTCTTAGAATACCTGGGATTCCGACGCAATATTCTTGTTCTGATGCCAGTTTGTTCTTGTTCCGATGTACATTTGGAGACAATGAAGTTTGAGAGGAACCACTGTACACACTATTGCAGATTGACAATCTAGGTCCCTCTGTCTGGCTGTGTTAATGTGTGTTAGTATTAGTGTCAGTGTGTGTTAGTGTGTGTGTAAGTGTGTGTGTGGCTTTTCTTTTCTTTTCTTTGTGTGTGTGTGTGTGTGTGTGTGTGTGTGTGTGTGTGTGTGTGTGTGTGTGTGTGTGTGTGTGTGCGCGCGAAACTGAGATATTTATTTTGGATGTCATTAATTGTTAGATGGGTATATATCATAACTTAGTCTTATATAATACAATCTGTGTTTATAGTTTCGACAGCTCACCCCATTCTTATTTGAAGGTGCACCCCACGCAGCAACTCACCTCAGTATAGGCCGTGTAAAACGGAAAGTGGTATGGAACCGCAAAGTATTTCTCATATTCAATATTCCTCTGGAAGTCGGGCAGACTGGCAGTGAGAGCGTACACCGACTGAAACGGTGGAGAACAGAAGGTATTCACTGATCATATGGAAGGGAGTGTTGTTATACAGGTACCCGCGATCTGAGAACGTGTTTATTCCCCTAATGTCAGCTACACACCTGTAAATGGTGACCAGGTACCGTCTCGTGAAGAGTCAATGCCATCATACTGAACGTGTTCCTGAAAGGAAAGATACTAACAAAGCTGAGAATCGGAATACGTTACATAATTTATGATAATTTATTACCTACGAGGGCGAACATATCGGGGTTCATATTTTTCATACGATGCCCTAGGACAAAATATCACTTTGGTGACGTGACGTCATGAACAATGCTATGACGTCACGTTTCATCAGTGACGTTGCGTTCTACATGCGGCAAAGGCGGGTAGCCTGCCTATGTTTAAAGTAGATTTTGGTTTATTTACCTCAATTTGACGACTTCGGTAATAAACAGAATATTATATTCGTGCCCATATCATACTATGTTTACGACACTCATGCCTAAATATCGGTATATCCCTCGCTCTCGCTCTGGAGATACCAACATTTGGCACTCGTGTCGTAAACATAGTATGACATGGGCACTTATATAATATCCTCTATGTAATTCTGATATACAGGTATTGTCTCAAAAATCAAGATGTGGAGAAATAATTTTCAGTGACACAAGACCAGTGAAGATCCGGATTAGAACTGTTCTTCAGCAATCAATGACACAATAAAGCGTATTGGAAGCGATGTCTCACGACATAGTATTGACATAGTGGTCTGTTTTAACGGTTCCATTCACTGATGCTGTGACGCAAATATTTTGAACTAGTGTAACTTTGCAAGCGCCTTTAAGGACAGTATACTATTATGCTGGTTGTTAAGTTATTAACTATAGGAGTGATATTTTACTGAATATATATAACCATCAGAGGCTGGCAAAGAAGATTCACACAAACACAATTAATCGAAGTGTAATGTTGGTTCAGCATACATTAGATGTCTCTTCATCAAGGATTGGCATTATCACAAGCATCAAGATCGCGAATCTTACTGAATGTATATTCTTATGAGGCTAAATATGCGAGTGCAGTAATGTACATGAACAGTTCATCTTACGTTTCCACATGGCAGCATGGTTGACAGACTTAAACGATGGAGATATTTGTGAAAAATTGTTGTGACCGTGGTAATATTTACATGTCGATCTATACGCCCTTGTTTGTTTGTTTGTTGTTTAACGTCGCACTCAGCAATATTCCAGCTCTATGGCGGCGGTCTGTAAACAATCGAGTCTGGACCAGACAATCCAGTGATCAACAGCATGAGCATCGATCTGCGTAATTGGCATACGATGACATGTATCAACCAAGTCAGCGAGCCTGACCATCCGATCCCGTCAGTCGCCTCTTACGACAAGCATGGGTTGCTGAAGACCAGTTCTAACCAGGATCTTCACGGGTTCCTTAACTTGTGTTTGTGGCGGATTCCATCGGCGGAGCAGGATACGCTCTCCGTTTTCGCGAACTATTTGATAGTGATTTATAAAAGAAATGTTTAATATATAATGGGAAGTGTCGGTATATTTCTCTCGATCATGTAAAGGGTTTTGATGCTGTTATCATTGAATTTAACGACAGAAAACCGAGTCTGTTATTCCTGTTTATGGAAGGAAGGTGTTAACGTCGATGAAGCATGGACTTACGTTTCGTTTGGCCTTTTAAGATTGACCTGGAACACCCCGTGTCGCGATCCATCGGCTGTTCCCGCTATGTACTTCCCTCCGGTGCCGTCGTTAGGCATAGCCTCCACACTGGGGACAGAGAGAGGGAGGCATCGTTCTTTATAGTTTGCCGATACGGATTTCAGAGGCGTGAATAACGTAGCATCCTCGATAAAGCGTTAATTGGCATGAAATGTAGGGCACATATAACGATGTCAATAGTCGCGATCGTCAGGCGAATATTTTAGAATAATAGAATAACACAATTTAACAGCAGGAACTAGGGAAAATCTACCAGGGCCCGGTTGTTCAAAATTCGGTTATCTTTAAACCAACGGTAAGTACATTTAACCGACTGTTACCTAATAACAGAGGGTTATCTTGTTGTTCAAAACCCTGTTAAATGGAGGTTCACCTGATTAATGAGTATCGAGGAAATTATGTTCATCTATTAAAGCATTCTATAATACACTTACGAAATATAATACATGTTTTCCGACCGTGAAGTCATTAAAAAGAATTATGCATTTATTGCAGTCACTTGTGAATTGAACTAAATAAAGGTTCATCTGATTAATGAGTATCGAGGAAATTATGTCCATCTATAAATTAGACGCAGCTTCATGGTTCATGCTTCATGCATCTTTCCGGAATATGCGTTCTTTGAATGCGTTCAGATAATGACGATATTGCACAGTATTATTCATGAGAATCCTGTCAAAAGTAAGGTCGGATAATAGATCGATTTTATTCAGCAGTGTTGGCCCTGGGGCCGATAGTACAATTACAGTTTGATTACTTGCACGTGGGGCTAGTAACATATTAAGTTTCTATTGGCATTGAATGCATGTTTCAGATAAAAGCTAATGGTATTAATTACACAACATATATATTCTTTGATGTTAAAAGATTTGGCAATCTGTGTTCATACATTACAATTTTTGACAGACTTGGCAAATAATTAATAAATGATATTGATAGCATCTTCACGAATTGGCCATACAGTCATGACAATTTAAGGAGTGAAAGTGGTTAAAGCGTTGGCTCGTCACGCCGAAAACCCGGGTTCGAATCCCCACGTGGGTACAATGTGTGAAGCCCATTTCTGGTGTCCCCACCGTGATGTTGCTGGAATATTGCTAAAAGCCGCGTAAAACCAAACTCAGTCAGTTTAATCGGGGCCCGGTTGGCCTTTGCACTGAAGGGCCATGGAAACAGTTTCTTACCTGACGTTGAGGTTTGGTATATTCTTAAACGCTCTCGACAGCTGTGGATATATTCTCTCATAGACCATATGTCGGTACTCCTTCAGGAGTTCTTCCTGGAATGGTGCAAACGGGAATTACCTCATTATAATTTCCAATCATTCGTCCTTCATACCACTTCAACATCAAAAGCATTCAACGTACGAGAAATGTATGTGAATGAGAATAATCTTGACCTTGACATAAGCGTTCGAACTTTGTATTGGATTAACATAAACCCGTTTGAGAATTCGAACCACCACATATGTTTATATACACGAACGCACAAACTCTTCAGTTACCTAATAGCCAAATAGAAAGGAGGTGTTTACAACAGAAAGATAACTGATTCACTAGAATGAAGAAATGTAATCCTTTTAGTTATAAATAGTTGTGAATTCACAAGTATATACATAATCGTCACATATTGTATGTTGTCTGCTTGTCCCTTTCCTCCACATACAGCGATTATGAAACTTTGATAATACAAACTATATTTATATGTGTATCATATCTCATAACGCTACAACACATGGAGAGTTATAAAGATTCGAGGTACTGTTTATCTATTGCTCTTCATGAATCACCCCCAACTTACGGCACTGTTCAGATGAAACTGGGGTTGCTCTTTCAACTGTTTGTAGAATTCCGCCACGGTCCCAGTATAATTTCTTTTCCGCATTATCTAAAAGTAGTTAATTCATTGAGGTAGTTTTATATTCAGTTTGGAGAAATGATGACAGTCTGTTTAACGTTACTGATGATATGATTAATTTAACATTGAGGATCTATATTCAACAAAAAATGAAAAAATCATACATACATCATCAATATAATGAAACAGATTTTAGAATTTATGCAACACATGTTATATGTTGGATTACACTTTCTCAGATTCTTGTAGTTTTGTTGGGTTGAGTCCCATCCGGGATTCGAACCACACCCTCACTCAGAGTCAGGCACTTAATCGCCAGCACACGAAGACAGCCGTCTAACCCACTCAGCCAGTGCGGATTCCACAAAAAATTTAAGTCGGACAACTGGTAGTCTAGACGAAGGAGTTTGTGCACCCCAGTGTAAATTTGCACTGAAAGCTATGAATAACCAATAACAGTTAGAAAGTGGTCAAATGTAACACATGTTATATTTTGGGTTACACTTTCTCAGAAATGTGCAGAAGCCGCAGTCGCTGAGTGGGTTAGACGGCTGACTCTAACCCTCTGAGTGAACGTGTGGGACTCGACCCAGCAAAAGAACTAGAATCTGTACTTTTCGGAGAAAGTGTAATCCCAAATATAACATGTGTTCCATTTGACGTTTTTCTAAATGGCATTGAGTATTCAAATCAATTTATGTATTGAAAAATGTATGTGTATCATGGTAAAATTAGCTGTTTTGTTAATATGTTCTTTATTGTTTTAAATGTCACAATATTTGATGGTAGTTCATAAATTTAATTCCTAATTTTACAGAACAATCAAATGACTTGACATTCTCAGACCTTTTTTATAATTGCTAATATTAACTCATATTATATTATTATATTAATTTGTATCTGACCACTTTCTAAATGGCATTGTGTATTCATAGCTTTCGGTCGTGGGAGCCGTGCCAATTTAGAGGGGTACACAAAGTACGTGATCTAGACTACCAGATTTCCGATTTCCATTTGTTGAACCCGCGGGCTCATTTGGTCCCCCAGCCCAGACAGCGAATGAGAAAGTGCTGCCGAGTAAAATGTACGTCCAGCATTTGCTCGAAACCAAAACATTTTCGTTAGCGAGGCAGGCGTCCTTGCCATTTTTCTCCTGAATCTTGTCGATCACATTATTGTCAAAACAGAAAGAGAATTGAATTCAATTATTTCTCTGGATTATTGAAAAACGACACGATCAGGTTTGTTGGCCTGGATGCGTCACAGGCTGTTTATAGGCAAGGGTCCTGTCGTAACTCTATAATCTGCCATTAGCTTGTGAATGTCGTAGCCCTACGAACCCTTTGTGGATCGGGACCCTGTTCCTAGATATCATATAATATAATTTTCCAGGACGCCCTCTCTACATGTTCTGGGTCGTACCATGGATGGACCTTTGTGTTAAAACCACAATAACGGCGAACACGGGAAAACGAAGGATTGGACCAAGCTATCAGGTTGATTAAGACACTATGTTTCTGCCAGCGCTGCCCATCCACTGACAAAGTGTTGGAGTCATTACATTCATTGCATAATCTACATTTCATATTTATATTTTGATACAGAATCAAGCATTGGCGGTCTTGAAGGGAAGTGAGTGGATCTGAAGAGCAGAAAGCAAGACTTTTGTTTCACTTTTCAGGCCAGCCGACTTCCCTCAAACGAAAGACTGCGTTGGGCTGCTGTTCTTCTCAACACACTGCATGTAAGCTGGATATAATGGTCGTTCTAGAGCCATTCATTGAAAAAAATAATCTGTGCCAATTTTAAATGGATACAGTGGTTGTTCAGAGAGCATCCCCTTGAAATAATTAACTTTATTAATAATGGTTATCATTATCCTACTATCTGTATCTCTGAGCTGATCCGCGCCACTTCCTCCCTGCCCTTCTCATGTACTTCCTCTGGGGTGAGATCCACGGAGATGTGCCACTTTAGGCAGGCCCTGTACAAGTCGATTCCTTTAGGCAGCCCCAACACACCGTACGTGGTGCGTGTCTGGGACATGTAGTCCTGCAACAGAACAATATACGTGACTCGCAGCAGCTGGTCTTGGAGCACCTGCCAGTCAGTAGGTGTGATGAAAAGACGTCAGAATGAGTGACGTCATAAGGTAGTGATGTCACTTGACACAATAATACTTGGAACAGGTGTCAGTCATACAATGGCGTCCATTTTGAAAGCAAAGGTGAGTGAGGTCAGTAGTTGTAAATGAATGACGTCGGTAGGTGTTACAACTTACATGTACTTTGTTGATGTCCGGAGGCTGAAATCGTGAAACAGAACGTTGCACGAGGCGCAAAGTTGTCACATTTGCCCATTTGTCAATCAGTAAGTGTGAATGAGTTCCGCAAATAGGTGTGAATTAGTGATATCAGTAGGTGGGAACACGTGCCGTCAGTAGGTGTGAATGGATGACGTCAGTAAGTGTAAAATGGATGACGTCAGTAGGTGTCAATGAGTGACGTCAGTCGGCGTAACGGGGTTAATGACCTGATGTAGTCATGTAATAGGACGTGACACACGGCTCACAGCAGCAACTTTCTCTCAGTCGGAAGGTGTGAATGAGTGAAGTTGGAGCTGGCAATGAATGACGTCAGAAGGTGTCAATGAGTGACAACGGTTGCAGCAGCTCTTCAGCGTTTCGCCAACCTACCAAAGTAATCCCCGTAACAGGCGTCTCTTTGTTCGGACAAACAAAGGATATTAAGCGTCATGAACTTTGGATCTTAATATACAACACGTCGCTGCCAAAGAATAACCAGACCCGATTATCTACCGACTATGATTACATTACGCCGGAAAAGAAAAATAGCGGTTAAAAGGATATGAAAATCATTGATACCACAAGGTGTTCACGAAAAGGTGAACCAAGTCTTGTACTATCATTATCCTACACACGACCCAGGAATCTGAAGGGCGTGGCTGCTAAATGCTTCCACATCGTCTGTCGTTAGTTATTGTTACCGAAGACCATTGGAATATTTGGTGTATATTCGCGTATAGGATCCCTAAGAATTAGACCATTTCCACATGAAACCAACGAATATTAAAAAAATACTCACATAAACAGTCACTGTAATAAAGAATGAGTGAGTATAGTATTACGCAGCTTATAGCAATGTTCAACCAATATCGCGGGGCATATAGATATGTGCTTCACGCATTGTACCCATTTGGGGAATCGAAACCAGGCCATAGGCGTGGCGAGCAGTGCTTTAACCACCAGGGACCCATCGTCCCTGTATTATAGAGGGTTGATGGGGTAGACTAACGGTTAAAGAATTTTCCAGTCATGCCGACAGCTCGGGTTCAATTCCCAAATGGGTACAATGTGTGGAGCCCCCTGCCGGGAAATTGCTGAAATATTGCTAAAGAGACCTGTAAAACCTACTTTCCAAATGAATATAACATGCGGAAACTAAAGATAGAGCATTGCCTGTATATTAGTTGTCAACCATGTTATATCAGTTTATATCAGTTTTTTATATCATCACTCAATTCAATCCAATCCAGCGGGTACCTGTTCAATGTACTCCTTGAGTTCCCTGAACGCATCCAGCAGATTGATCACAGCCTGTCGACCACGTGTGCGTATGTCTGTCCTGGAAATATATAGACAGACTATGCATGATGGACGGAGTGTCTCCAGCACAGTGTGCTGTTGTAACACAAGTCGGAGGACAGTGTATCCTGTTATTTTATGACACCCCACACCCAATACTCCTCCCACCCACAGCTTCATGATGACATTTTCCCTCCTAAATCAAAGCAAATCGAATTTTCTATCAATACTGTCCAACCCGTGAAGATCCGGGTTAGACTTGATCTTCAGTAACCCATGCTTGTCGTAAGAGGCGCCTAACAGATCGGGTGGTCAGGCTCGCTGACTTGGTTGACACATGTCATCGAATCCCAATTGCGTAGATCGATGCTCATGCTGTTGATCACTGGATTGTCTGATCCAGACTGGATTATTCACAGACCGCCGCCATATAGCTGGAATATTGCTGAGTGCGGCGTAAAACTAAATTCACTCACTCACTACAGGACTTCATACAACATAAAACTGTTTAATCAAACTCTTTAATTATCTCTTTGCTTTCTTTCACATACTTGTCACTGGTAGAGATGGTCAGCTTGTCGAGGTCAGTGGTGAATGGCTTGTAGAAGACTGATGTCTCTGGCTTCGTCACCAGCAGCTGCTCAATTTGTCCTGGGATTTTGTCCTGGAAGTCAAGAGATGCATCAAGCATTTGATCAGGGACAGATCACTGAAGTCACTACCGCCGTTTGTTACTTTCCTTTGTCTACAATTTGAAATTATGATTCTTCTCATGTTACAACACATAAAATTTTAAAGTTAAAATTCATTAAAAATTAAACTCAAAATGGTCTTTTGATTCACGTCTGCATACTGTATTTAAAAAAATTGTAATCCAGTGTAAACTATACCAATGCCTAGACAATAATTATTATCATAGTTCAAAATCTTAGGACAAGTTGCTCAAAAATGATATTTTAATAGATATGTGAAATCAAACACAAGTAATGATGTTTTGTTGCATCCTTCCGATATCAAGACATGTATTCGGATATGGCATTTGCAGACCTGTGAAGATCCGGGTTAGAATATAGAGATTACTAAACGAGTGTCTGTCAGATACCATTTATCTTACAACGAGTTGTTTCAAAACGTATTTAACGAGCGAAAGAGAGTTAAATACGTTTTGAAACAACGAGTTGTAAGATAAATGGTATCTGACAGACACGAGTACAGTAATCTGTTTCTTACACACCATTAAATCGCACCATTTTATGGTCGAATAGATTCAAATTTCATGTTTTCTCATCGTAGGTGCGCAATAATACACAACACAACGTTTATAAATGAGTGACGTCACTTGGCTTCCTAATCACTACTCCTCCCCATAGTGACCCTCCACAAAAAAGTTTCTGCCACCTCTTCGCATCATCAAGGCAATAGTGATAATGATAACTAGATAAGATCACAGAAAATTAATTAAACCCTCTAAAACAATGATGTTACCGTGCAAATGTGGATGATTCTAATTCTTGCAAGCGTAAAATATTTGAGCGAGTGACGTCATCGTTATCGCTTGGTGGTTGTCATCGAAAGATTGTTTTGGATATCTCTGCACATTGGGGACTGGTACTTGTGTACCAGTTTAAGTTCAATGTTCTCCCATCGACCGGAGCCAAAACTACTGAGTGTGTGTCATTAGGTGCACCAAGTGTGCTTGAATGTGACATTGCTGAGGTTACGTTCACTGTCAATGGGGGACTACTCTTCTTCGCCACATCCTTCTCGTTTTCCCGAGCCAGAAACTGCCACTTGGAATGTAATGGAATTTACGGAGTTTTCAGTATGAAATGTGAGTTGATTACATCCTGTAAGTTATCAAGACATAAACTTTTCATTATCATGCGTAGGAGGAATATCTTCAGCAATGACTTATGTGTAGATCAACCGTTCCTGTACAAGTTCGATTGAATAGAAAGGACGTGTGCCGCCATTTGCACTCATGAAGCCTTGCAAAACGTACCATGTTGTACATTGTTTCAACGAGTGTGTTTTGGTTCAGATTGTCATGAGTGAATTTGATAACATTGGAATCACATAGTATCTCGGATCTGGAAGTGGGTCTTCATCATGTGTATCAGTGAAAAATGTCATCTTCATCAATGCATCAAAGAAACAACGAGGCAAATCGATCTCACTATGGACAGGCACTGACGTTATCGTGTCAGGTATTTTTGCAAGACGACACATGACACTTGTCGCATCTCTCCAGTAAAAGTACCAGTGTTGTACATTTTGAATATTCGAAGGGAATGAAGGGCTTTATCTCTAACGGTGATTTTCACATAATTGTTTACACAGGTATCACTGATTGTTGGAGCTATTTTGAATTCATGACTAGAAATCAAAAGTTTTAATAAAAGGAATTAGAAAATAAATAGATTTGTGTTATATTTATTCTACTTGTGACTCATTTTATAAATACATGTTTATGTTGCAATCGCGAAAATAACAGGTAGGTGTAAAGGGGTATTTTTTGCACGAGTAACAGGTTTCTGTTCGATTGAAGCACGAGTAACTTATCAATGAATTTTAATCAGGAAAGTAGTCCGTCATACCCTGACCCTAGGTCATCACCATGGAGTAGCCAATGACGGGATTAGAAATCGATCTCACACATATGTGTGATACCAGTTTTCTCACATGGGTTTCTCACCCACAGGTGTGTAAGAAATTGATCTTCAGTGACTCATGCTTGTCGTAAGAGGCGACTAACGGGATCGGGTGGCCAGGCTCGCTGGCTTGGTTGACACAGACCGATGCTCATGCTGTTGATCACTGGAATGTGTGGTCCAGACTCGATTATTTACACACCGCCGCCATATAGCTGGAATATTGCTGAGTGCGGCATAAAACCAAACTCACTCACCTTTTGCAGTTCTGCTTGAAACAGACTGGCCCCAGTGTTGATACAACAGTGGATCCATTCAAGTTCTTTAAAACTATGACGCAAATATGTTTTGCCTTTAATAGTTTCATGTGCCCTTACCACTGATACTCGATGGTACGTATCTCCGTTCTTGGCCGCTACCTTGAACCGTGTGATGTACTGGTCAAACTGGAACATATTGTAATATTGTTATTTATAATGTTTATGTAAGTTGTAACTAATTTTGATATGTGAAACGAAAACACGAATTGTTACGAATTGAATTCAAATTCAAAGCAGATACCTCTTACATTTTCAGTACATGAGGTGCAAATTCAACAGTCAATTCTTATCGATGTTACAATGTTGACACATTATCATCAATATTATACCCGTATATGCCCATGTGGTTGCTTGCATTTTAACCGCTTTACAGACAATGAGACACAGCATAGGGCTGGACAATTTGGACACTACATCTAGAATTTCTTTTCTAGACAAACGAATACATGAAATCAAAACTGTAAAAATATTACCAGACGACTTTATCACAAAGGTAAAAGTAGTGTCTACAACCACATATTTAGCAACATTAGTATGTTCTTTATCTCAAAGGTAACAGTAGTGTCTACAACCATATATTTTGCATTATTAGCATGTTCTTCATCTCAAAGGTAACAGTAGTGTCTACAACCATATATTTAGCATTATTAGCAGATTCCTTATCTCAAAGGTAAAAGTAGTGTCTACAATCAGATATTTTGCATTATAAGCAGATTCCTTATCTCAAAGGTAACAGTAGTGTCTACAACCATATATTTAGCACTATTAGCTGATTCTTTATCTCAAAGGTAACAGTAGTGTCTACAACCATATATTTTGCAGTATTAGCAGATTCCTTATCTCAAAGGTAACAGCAGTGTCTACAACCATATATTTAGCATTATTAGCTGATTCTTTATCTCAAAGATAACAGCAGTGTCTACAACCATATATTTAGCACTATTAGCTGATTCTTTATCTCAAAGGTAACAGTAGTGTCTACAACCATATATTTTGCAGTATTAGCAGATTCCTTATCTCAAAGGTAACAGCAGTGTCTACAACCATATATTTAGCATTATTAGCAGATTCTTTATCTCAAAGGTAACAGTGGTGTCTACAATCAGATATTTTGCATTATTAGCAGATTCCTTATCTCAAAGGTAAAAGTAGTGTCTACAATCAGATATTTTGCATTATAAGCAGATTCCTTATCTCAAAGGTAACAGTAGTGTCTACAACCATATATTTAGCATTATTAGCATTCTTTATCTCAAAGGTAACAGCAGTATCTCAAAGATAATTAGCAGTTCTTTATCTCAAAGGTAACAGCAGTGTCTACAACCATATATTTAGCATTATTAGCAAATTCCTTATCGCAAAGGTAACAGTAGTGTCTACAATCAGATATTTTGCATTATTAGCAGATTTCTTATCTCAAAGGTAACAGCAGTGTCTAGGACCATATATTTTGCATTATTAGCAGATTCTTTATCTCAAAGGTAACAGCAGTGTCTACAACCATATATTTTGCATTATTAGCATGTTCTTCATCTCAAAGATAACAGCAGTGTCTACATCCATATATTTTGCATTATAAGCAGATTCCTTATCTCAAAGGTAACAGTAGTGTCTACAATCAGATATTTTGCATTATTAGCAGATTCTTTATCTCAAAGATAACAGCAGTGTCTACATCCATATATTTTGCATTATTAGCAGATTCTTTATCTCAAAAGTAACAGTAGTGTCTACAATCAGATATTTTGCATTATTAGCAGATTCTTTATCTCAAAGGTAACAGTAGTGTCTACAACCATATATTTTGCATTATTAGCAGATCTTCATCTCAAAGATAACAGCAGTGTCTACAACCATATATTTTGCATTATTAGCAGATTCTTTATCTCAAAGGTAACAGCAGTGTCTACAACCATATATTTTGCATTATTAGCAGATTCTTTATCTCAAAGGTAACAGTAGTGTCTACAACCATATATTTTGCATTATTAGCAGATTCTTTATCTCAAAGGTAACAGTAGTGTCTACAATCAGATATTTTGCATTATTAGCAGATTCTTTATCTCAAAGATAACAGCAGTGTCTACAACCATATATTTTGCATTATTAGCAGATTCTTTTATCTCAAAGGTAACAGTAGTGTCTACAACCATATATTTTGCATTATTAGCAGATTCTTTATCTCAAAGGTAACAGTAGTGTCTACAACCATATATTTTGCATTATTAGCAGATTCTTTATCTCAAAGGTAACAGTAGTGTCTACAACCATATATTTTGCATTATTAGCAGATTCTTTATCTCAAAGGTAACAGTAGTGTCTACAACCATATATTTAGCATTATTAGCAGATTCTTTATCTCAAAGGTAACAGTAGTGTCTACAATCAGATATTTTGCATTATTAGCAGATTCCTTATCTCAAAGGTAACAGTAGTGTCTACAACCATATATTTTGCATTATTAGCAGATTCTCTTATCTCAAAGGTAACAGTAGTGTCTACAATCAGATATTTTGCATTATTAGCAGATTCCTTATCTCAAAGGTAACAGTAGTGTCTACAACCATATATTTTGCATTATTAGCAGATTCTTTATCTCAAAGGTAACAGTAGTGTCTACAACCAGATATTTTGCATTATTAGCAGATTCTTTATCTCAAAGGTAACAGTAGTGTCTACAACCATATATTTTGCATTATTAGCAGATTCTTTATCTCAAAGGTAACAGTAGTGTCTACAATCATATATTTTGCATTATTAGCAGATTCTTTATCTCAAAGGTAACAGTAGTGTCTACAACCATATATTTTGCATTATTAGCAGATTCTTTATCTCAAAGGTAACAGTAGTGTCTACAATCAGATATTTTGCATTATTAGCAGATTCCTTATCTCAAAGGTAACAGTAGTGTCTACAACCATATATTTTGCATTATTAGCAGATTCTTTATCTCAAAGGTAACAGTAGTGTCTACAATCATATATTTTGCATTATTAGCAGATTCTTTATCTCAAAGGTAACAGTAGTGTCTACAATCATATAGTTTGCATTATTAGCAGATTCCTTATCTCAAAGATAACAGCAGTGTCTACATCCATATATTTTGCATTATTAGCATTATTAGCAGATTCTTTATCTCAAAGGTAACAGTAGTGTCTACATCCATATATTTTGCATTATTAGCAGATTCTTTATCTCAAAGGTAACAGCAGTGTCTACATCCATATATTTTGCATTATTAGCAGATTCTTTATCTCAAAGGTAACAGCAGTGTCTACATCCATATATTTTGCATTATTAGCAGATTCTTTATCTCAAAGGTAACAGTAGTGTCTACAACCATATATTTTGCATTATTAGCAGATTCTTTATCTCAAAGGTAACAGTAGTGTCTACAACCATATATTTTGCATTATTAGCAGATTCCTTATCTCAAAGGTAACAGTAGTGTCTACATCCATATATTTTGCAACATTAGCAGATTCCTTATCTCAAAGGTAACAGCAGTGTCTACATCCATATATTTTGCAACATTAGCAGATTCTTTATCTCAAAGATAACAGCAGTGTCTACATCCATATATTTTGCATTATTAGCAGATTCTTTATCACAAAGATAACAGCAGTGTCTACATCCATATATTTTGCAACATCAGCAGATTCTTTTCTCAAAGATAACAGTAGTGTCTACATCCATATATTTTGCATTATTAGCAGATTCCTTATCTCAAAGGTAACAGTAGTGTCTACAACCATATATTTAGCATTATTAGCAGATTCCTTATCTCAAAGGTAACAGTAGTGTCTACAACCAGATATTTAGCAATGTTAGCAGATTCTTTATCGCAAAGGTAACAGTAGTCCCTACAATCAAATATTTAGCAATATTAGCAGATTCTTTATCGCAAAGGCAACAGTAGTGTCTACAACCAGATATTTAGCAATATTAGCAGATTCTTTATCTCAAAGGTAACAGCAGTGTCTACATCCATATATTTTGCATTATTAGCAGATTCCTTATCTCAAAGATAACAGCAGTGTCTACATCCATATATTTTGCATTATTAGCAGATTCTTTATCTCAAAGGTAACAGCAGTGTCTACATCCATATATTTTGCATTATTAGCAGATTCCTTATCTCAAAGGTAACAGCAATGTCTAGGACCATATATTTAGCAATATTAGCAGATTCTTTATCTCAAAGGTAACAGTAGTGTCTACAACCATATATTTTGCATTATTAGCAGATTCCTTATCTCAAAGGTCACAGTAGTGTCTACATCCATATATTTTGCAACATTAGCAGATTCCTTATCTCAAAGGTAACAGCAGTGTCTACATCCATATATTTTGCAACATTAGCAGATTCTTTATCTCAAAGATAACAGCAGTGTCTACATCCATATATTTTGCATTATTAGCAGATTCTTTATCACAAAGATAACAGCAGTGTCTACATCCATATATTTTGCAACATCAGCAGATTCTTTTCTCAAAGATAACAGTAGTGTCTACATCCATATATTTTGCATTATTAGCAGATTCCTTATCTCAAAGGTAACAGTAGTGTCTACAACCATATATTTAGCATTATTAGCAGATTCCTTATCTCAAAGGTAACAGTAGTGTCTACAACCAGATATTTAGCAATGTTAGCAGATTCTTTATCGCAAAGGTAACAGTAGTCCCTACAATCAAATATTTAGCAATATTAGCAGATTCTTTATCGCAAAGGCAACAGTAGTGTCTACAACCAGATATTTAGCAATATTAGCAGATTCTTTATCGCAAAGGTAGTAGTGTCTACAACCAGATATTTAGCAATATTAGCAGATTCTTTATCGCAACGTTAACAGTAGTGTCTAAACCAGATATTTAGCACTGTTAGCAGATACTGACTAAGAAATGGACAAGTAAGCTTGATCAGATTGGCTTCATGATCAGTAACAAGAAATGCCGCATCAGCGGTTATTAAAACATCAAATGAATCAATTTATTCCCGAACCCAAGTGGCAAGGGATGTTACAATTCAGCCATATGTAAATCATATGCAATCATTACGTAACAGCTGTCGGTCCAGCAGGGTAATACTGACCTCTGGCGAGACACGATCAATGGTTAGACACCACCGTCTCTAACGAACGTAGGGTCTTTGTCTTCATGACAGATCTTTATGGCTTCAAATCATTAGAATAAATCTAACTGACATACACTTTACCTGGATATGGAGAAGTTAATACATTAAACGTTGGATACTAATGCTAGCAAACACTTGACAAACAACTAGATTCGTAGCCATTAAATTCGAGATTACCTTAGTGGGCCACAACTGCAACCGGGAGAGGTATTTTTCGTAATCCTCTTTCGTTTCATATCTGAGGATCCGTACTCTGTATGCAGGATCGATCTGGTCGCCTTCCAGGAAGTTGAGGGGATTCAGGGGGCCGTAGCTGAAATATGGGAATCCAACAGTAACATTGCAATAACTGTCATACATATGTACTTCTAGGTCCGCATGTTTTGCAGTATTTATCATATATAAATTGTTTACTAAAGGACCTTTTAAACCTTCGAAGCATTCACTCAAACCACACTCCGTCTGTTCTTCAACGTAAATGCTCAAAAGTTCATAAATTTATCTTTTATACTTATACGCCGAAACCGCGCACTGTAATTTCGAAATATTCTACTATAGGACTTAACTCATATCAATATATAATAGTAAGATTTATTGGTGAATCATAAAATGAGTTCAGCATCTCATCAGAGCCTTTACTTGTCTCCTTTTACCCAAATTAGATAATTAATCAGAAGGTATGCAAAAGTTTTGTGGGTAAGAAAATGTGACTCGGGAGAAAGTGAAAATACATTAATTTTCCACAATTGTGTCACAAAGCATCGTATAAAGATACTTGTCATGAGCATAAAAGTATCAAGAAACTGAGAAGGGAAAAGTGTCATATCATGAAACAATATCAGTATATCTATATTAAATACAACATTACGTTTCGTATATCTAGGTACCTATGCCAACATTACAATATAATTGTAATTGAGGGACAAGAATTGCAGCCAAAATAAATATAGAGGCGCGTATTTTAGCTAAAGCAAATACTGACACGCATCTTCTCAACATCAGTATCACATTGGGATGCAATACTTACAAGCGCCACTGGTGGTTGGACGAAAACGTGGACAGAGTGTCGTTAAACACTTCATAACTGTATTTCTCCGACGTTGTCAAGTCGTCGGTGTCGATGGATGAGAGTCGGGTGATGAAGTCATCTATTATGGCCTGAATGTAAATATCAAACGGTGTTATACAACCATCCCTCTGAGACCTAGATTAACGTAAGCAGAAATGTATAGAGCATTCCAGCGTCATTATTCAATTACCCAGAGGAAGAGGTAACTGATCATGATTTTCATCAGTGAGCAAGAACTGTCAGTCTGGAACACAGATCGATAGCTATTATCTGTCCAGATGGAACAGATGTCATGTGAGTGGGCATAAATACCTTAAATTTCGGAATATATTACACAGATTTCCTTAAAAACCGTTTGTACAATGTCTATTGTTAGGGAAATGTCCTGGGTAGTGTTTATGTATGTTTAACAATCTTGGGAAACTACTTTCGACCACCTGTTTCATTTTGGAACAAATAAAGACATATGGTCCATTTACTCCAATCAAAACGAAATTTTCAATACTGGACGTGCTGTAGTCACCACCGACTGACAGTGCTTGGTGTTGAACCCGCTTTGCTGAACATCCTGTTACCTTTTCATAAATTTGCCTGAGGTGAAGACTATATAACCTGACAACAATCTGTCATTACATAAACGACATGCTGGGTATGAAGACCTTATAACCTTACAATCTTAACGGCCAAAGAGGAAGACGCTGTTAGCTGACAATCGGTCCGAAAACAAACAATATGCTGAAGAAGAGAAGAAGATCCCTTAACCTAACAGTCTGTCTGTACTTGAAAAGTAACAACACATTACCAGACAGTCTGTCTGTACAGACACAATCTAGCAAACCTTCCTTCTGTCCACAGGACGCACAATCTTGCAGACGTTCCTTCCGCTTACAGGACACACAATCCTGCAGACTTTCCTTCTGTTTTCAGAACACATACTCGCACAGACCTTCATTCTGTTTACAGGACAAACAATCCTGCATGCCTTCCTTCTATCGACAGAACACACAATCCTAAAGACCTTCTTTCTGTCCACAGGAAACACAATCCTGCAGACCTTTCTTCTGTCCACAGGACACATAACCTTGCAGACCTTCCATCTGTTCATACGGCACATACTCGTGCAGACCTTCTATCCACAGGACTCAAATCTTGCAGGCCTTCGTTCTGTTTACAGGACACATAATCCCGCAGACGTTTCTTCTGTCCATGGGACACACAATCCTGTAGATCTTCCTTCTGTTCACAGGACACACAATTTAAAAGACCTTCCTTCTGTCCACAGGACACACAGTCTAACAGACCTTCCTTCTGTCCATATGATACACAATCTTGCATACCTTCTTCTGTTCACAGGGGCCGGTGGGGTAGCCTAGTGGTTAAAGCGTTGGCTCCTGACGCCGAAGACCCGGGATCGAATCCCCACATGGGTACAATGTGTGAAGCCCATTTCTGGTGTCCCCCGCCGTGATGTTGCTGGAATATTGCTAAAAGCGGCGTAAAATCAAACTCAGTCAGTCAGTCAGTCTTCTGTTCACAGGACACACAATCTAACAGACCTTCCTTTTGTCCACAGAACACACAATCTAGCAGACCTTCTTCTGTCCACATGACACACAATCTTGCATATTTTCTTCTGTCCATATGACACACAATCTAACAGACCTTCCTTCTGTCCACAGGACACACAATCTAAAAGACCTTCCTTCTGTCCACATGACACACAATCTAACATACCTTCTTCTGTCCACATGGCACACAATCTAACAGACCTTCCTTCTGTCCACAGGACACACAATCTAGCAGACCTTCTTCTGTTCACAAGACACATAATCTAGCAGACCTTCCTTCTGTCCACAGGACACACAATCTAACAGACCTTCCGTCTGGCCGCAGGACACACAATCTATCAGACCTTCTTCTGTTCACAGGACACACAATCTAACAGACCTTCCTTCTGTCCATATGATACATAATCTAGCAGACCTTCCTTCTGTTCATAGGATACACAATCCAACAGACCTTCCTTCTGTCCACAGGACACACAATCTAACAGACCTTCTTCTGTTCACATGACACAAAATCTATCAGACCTTCTTCTGTTCACAGGACACACAATCTAACAGACCTTCCTTCTGTTCACAGGACATATTATAATCTATCAGATCTTCCTTCTGTCCACAGGACACACAATCTAGCAGACCTTCTTCTGTCCACAGGACACACAATCTAACAGACCTTCCTTCTGGCCGCAGGACACACAATCTATCAGACCTTCTTCTGTTCACAGGACACACAATCTAACAGACCTTCCTTCTGTCCATCTGATACAAAATCTAGCAGACCTTCCTTCTGTTCAGATGATACACAATCTAACAGACCTTCCTTCTGTTCACAGGACACACAATCTAGCAGACCTTCTTCTGTTCACATGACACAAAATTTATCAGACCTTCTTCTGTTCACATGACACACAATCTAACAGACCTTCCTTCTGTTCACAGGACACACAATCTAACAGACCTTCCTTCTTTCCACATGGCACACAATCTAACAGACCTTCTATCTGTTCACAGGACACACAATCTAGTAGACCTTCCTTCTGTCCACAGGACACATAATCTATCATACCTTCCTTCTGTCCACAGGACACACAATCTAAAAGACCTTCCTTCTGGCCGCAGGACATACAATCTATCAGACCTTATTCTGTTCACAGGACACACAATCTAACAGACCTTCCTTCTGTCCATAAGATACATAATCTTGCAGACCTTCCTTCTGTTCATAGGATACACAATCTAACAGACCTTCCTTCTGTCCACAGGACACACAATCTAACAGACCTTCCTTCTGTCCACAGGACACACAATCTAGCAGACCTTCTTCTGTCCACAGGACACACAATCTAACAGACTTTCCTTCTGGCCACAGGACACACAATCTAACAGACCTTCCTTCTGTCCATATGATACATAATCTAGCAGACCTTCCTTCTTGCCGCAGGACACACAATCTAACAGACCTTCCTTCTGTCCATATGATACATAATCTAGCAAACCTTCTTCTGTTCACAGGACACACAATCTAACAGACCTTCCTTCTGTCCATATGATACATAATCTAGCAGACCTTCCTTCTGTTCACAGGACACACAATCTAGCAGACCTTCTTCTGTCCACATGACACACAATCTAACATACCTTCTTCTGTTCACATGACACACAATCTAGCAGACCTTCTTCTGTTCACAGGACACACAATCTAGTAGACCTTCCTTCTGTCCACAGGACACATAATCTATCATACCTTCCGTCTGTCCACAGGACACACAATCTAACAGACCTTCCTTCTGGCCGCAGGACACACAATCTATCAGACCTTCTTCTGTTCACAGGACACACAATCTAACAGACCTTCCTTCTGTCCATATGATACATAATCTAGCAGACCTTCCTTCTGTTCATATGATACACAATCTAACAGACCTTCCTTCTGTCCACAGGACACACAATCTAGCAGACCTTCTTCTGTCCACAGGACACACAATCTAACAGACCTTCCATCTGGCCGCAGGACACACAATCTAACAGACCTTCCTTCTGTCCATATGATACATAATCTAGCAGACCTTCCTTCTGTTCACATGACAAACAATCTAACAGACCTTCCTTCTGTCCATATGATACATAATCTAGCAGACCTTCTTCTGTTCACAGGACACACAATCTAACAGACCTTCCTTCTGTCCATATGATACATAATCTAGCAGACCTTCCTTCTGTTCACAGGACACACAATCTAGCAGACCTTCTTCTGTTCACATGACACACAATCTAACAGACCTTCCTTCTGTCCACATGACACACAATCTAACAGACCTTCTTCTGTTCACAGGACACACAATCTAGCAGACCTTCTTCTGTTCACATGACACACAATCTAACAGACCTTCCTTCTGTTCACAGGACACACAATCTAACAGACCTTCCTTCTGTCCATATGATACATAATCTAGCAGACCTTCCTTCTGTTCAGATGATACACAATCTAACAGACCTTCCTTCTGTCCACAGGACACACAATCTAGCAGACCTTCTTCTGTTCACATGACACAAAATCTAACAGACCTTCCTTCTGTTCACAGGACATATTATAATCTATCACACCTTCCTTCTGTCCACAGCACACACAATCTAGCAGACCTTCCTCCTGTCTGCAGGCCACAAAATCTATGAGACTTTCTTCTGTTCACAGGACACACAATCTAACAAACCTTCCTTCTGTCCATAAGATGCATAATCTAGCAGACCTTCCTTCTGTCCATAGGATACACAATCTAAGAGACCTTCCTTCTGTCCACAGGACACACAATCTAGCATACCTTCTTCTGTCCACATGACACACAATCTAACAGACCTTCCTTCTGTCCACATGACACACATTCTAACAGACCTTCCTTCTGTCCACATGACACACAATCTTGCATACCTTCTTTTGTCCACATGACACACAATCTAACAGACCTTCCTTCTGTCAACAGGACACACATCATTCCATTTATTCCTTATATTGTCAGGACACACAATCTAGCAGACCTTCCTTCTGTTCAGATGATACACAATCTAACAGACCTTCCTTCTGTCCACAGGACACACAATCTAGCAGACCTTCTTCTGTTCACATGACACAAAATCTAACAGACCTTCCTTCTGTTCACAGGACATATTATAATCTATCACACCTTCCTTCTGTCCACAGCACACACAATCTAGCAGACCTTCCTCCTGTCTGCAGGCCACAAAATCTATGAGACTTTCTTCTGTTCACAGGACACACAATCTAACAAACCTTCCTTCTGTCCATAAGATGCATAATCTAGCAGACCTTCCTTCTGTCCATAGGATACACAATCTAAGAGACCTTCCTTCTGTCCACAGGACACACAATCTAGCATACCTTCTTTTGTCCACATGACACACATTCTAACAGACCTTCCTTCTGTCCACATGACACACAATCTAACAGACCTTCCTTCTGTCCACATGACACACAATCTTGCATACCTTCTTTTGTCCACATGACACACAATCTAACAGACCTTCCTTCTGTCCACAGGACACACATCATTCCATTTATTCCTTATATTGTCAGGACACACAATCTAGCAGGCCTTCCGTCGGTTCACAGGACTGCCAATCCAGCAGGCCTATCCTCTCACCACATGACACACAAAATTGCAGACCTTCATTCTATCCACAGGACTCAAATCTTGCAGGCCTTCCTTCTTCTGTCCGGACACACAATCTAACAGACCTTTCTTCTATCCACAGGACACACAATCTAGCAGTCCTTCATTCTGATCACAGGACACACAATCGTGAAGAACTTCCTTGCCACCCCTACGCACTAACAACAAAAGCCATCTAGCCACAGTCAGGTTTCTTGTCTTTAGGTACGCCATACTTTGAAACCATCTAGCAATACTAAGTACATCGTACGTAAGACCATCTAAATACACGGCACTTTCTCTATATCTAGTTACGCCGTTCACCAAGCCACACTCACTTTCGTCGTCTCTAAGTACGCCATGCAAGGGGAGACCACCCTGACACGTTTAACTGCTTCGTTTCCAAGGGCATCAAGGCCATTAACTCACCTTTCTCGTCTCCAAAGACACCATACTGAAATCTTCCACTGTGTTGTCGTACGTGTGGACGCCAGTCTCCGTGGCAAACTCCGGTGCGTCCATCTCACGCCATCGGTAAAACTCGGCCTCCAGTGATCGTAGGTCAACGCCAGCTGATCCACCTGGGAAATACCAACCCGTAAAATGACATAGCTGTCACAAAACATACGTGTGTATTTGAGTAAGGCTGTCAAAAGTATTTAATAAATTGCACAATACATCACTAGGAAAATGACCCTTGAAGGTACGGGTTAGAAGTGGTCTTCAGTAACCCATGCTTGTCGTAAGAGGCGACTAACGGGAACGGGTGGTGAGGTTCGCTGACTTGGTTGATGCATGTCATCGTGTACCAATTGTGAAAATCGATGCTCATGATCTCAATCACTGGACTGTCTGGTCCAGACTCGCTGTCAAATAGCTGTCGTAATACTGAGTACGGAAGTTTACAAACACACAACGAAAGTCATCACATACTGAAAATGATGGTGACCAATTGACTAAAGAACTTTCGAATCTTAACTCTAAAAAGAGCAACATGTCAAACGGAGATAAGGAATCGCACGCTGTGATATTATGAATGTATGAATATCGCTGAAGGACCCCCTTCACTCTTTCTCATTGAGACCGCCTCAGTGGTGTAGTGGTTAGAGTGTCCGCCCGGAGATCGGAAGGTCGCGGGTTCGATCCCCGGCCACGTCATACCAAAAGACGTTAAAATATGGTACTTGTTGATCACTGCCTGGCGCTCGGCATTAATGGGTCGGCTCGGAGTCAGTATAATGTGTCTCAGTGGGATATTCATGCTTCACTGCGGCATTGTATCTCAGTGGGCTAGCACTATAAAACCAGCTTAAGTCTGGGCTAGTACAAGCAGCCGCACATACACATACACACACAACCACGTCGTCATATGAGCGAAATATTCTCAAGAACGACGTTAAACCCAATTTCACCTCACCTCACCTCACCTTTCTCATTTACCCTCTCACTTAAAATTAAAAGTAACGTGAGGCGATAGAAGCAAGAGCACATTGTCCTCAATAACTGATATGAAGAAAAATCTTATCAAATTAGATAGGAGGTTTTGTCATGTTACGCTAAATACTGTACAAGCTACAGTACTGGGAGCGTGACAATCGGTACACCGACATTTCGTTACACGGAGTGAAAGGTCATAGATCCTGATTTGACCTATGGTGGCACTACTGTATGTTCTCGTCTTTCAAACCAATGGCATTAGCGGTTTAAAATGACAAAGTGGCCTAGCGTTGCTGAGCGGGATGCATCAACCTGGTGGCAAACAGCTACACCTCACACGGCCAGGGTGTCTGATTCCCTTGTGTGAAGGCAAATGGAATAGCATAATACTTCAGGGGTATGTGAGTCAGTTTTGTTTAGGGTATCCAAAGTACGTTTAAATTTCAGCAATTTTAAAGGACTATCATTGAACATTTTATACAGCTAAATCCCCTGAATCGGAACATTCTTGTTTTAAACCCACAATGTATTATTAATATTGTCACAGTGTATATGTACATATTATATATAGTACAAGCTGTAATACGAATAACTGAAGGAAAAGATTCATCTATGTCAGACATTTAACTTGTATCATACAACTCTAGCGGAATAATGTACAAAGACGAGGATGAACACTTAGATGTAATCATTACATATAAATGTACCAGATAGAAACATAACATTGGTGTCAACCTTACAACCTCAATAGTTACCGTTAACCAAGGACGTAAACGTGTTTAAAAATAAAACTACAGCCATTGCGTATGGCACACATATGAATGACAGTCCACATCCACCAGTGGAGGAAACATTTTCATTGCGGGCATGAAAAGTACATAAACAGTAATTACGATATGTGAAATGTACATGAGCTGTCAGAATGACATATGAAATGAACACTTACCAGCTGACGGAGCCAGCTGTGTGGCCATCACGACAACAGCAACAAGCACCGCGCTGGAAATGAAGCAAGCAAATAGACATTTGGCAGAAACTTTGAATGTGGACGTCGACATGGCTGCAGTGATCTGCCGAATGCAGTGGCTACACTCTCCTACTCCCTCTAACTGCAATCAAGGATAATAAGTCGCCTTATTATTTATTCATGGTCTGAAATATAATAACGACGTACAGTGTATACCATGCATTACCTAAGGTGTAAGGGGCCTCTGTCACCCCCGGGACGTCAAATGGCGGCTATGTGTCACCCCAGGCTTTGCAATTAAATGAAAGTTAGTTCAAGTCCATCCCTAGTGCCCGCAACTGTAATCTAATACCGCTTTACAAAGGGATTTACCACAGATCTGGGATATGCAGGTCGCTCACATGAAACATGTCTCACCTAGATGTTATCAATCCGCTTATCATGACTGCGTGAGATCGCGGTACCGTCTTGTAAAGTATCCCCTCCAAGCCTCTCTCCTATTGAACGACATTGCAGTATTAAATATACATCATTGAGGCTTGCAGCGTCCAGATCTCTTTAATGACAGGCCTACTGCCTCAGTAGCCATTTATAAGAGCTGTGTTAAAGCCAATTTTGTCGAAATGCCACTGAATGTTCGTTTTTTTTTTTAATCTTTAACCCTTCTGTGTGTGTCTGTGTGCGTGTGCGTGCATTTCAATGTTTGTAAATGGGGATTGTTTTTGTATTGTTTCTGTAAAAGTTATGTAGGTGATTTAAGCGCTTCTGAAGATCTATCATTCGTATTAAGGAAATTCCATCGAGCGTCGTGACACTATTTAACGGACACGCACAACCTTGTATTACATCCGATTACGTCAAAACCAGCATTGTTTCAACCTGAATATCCAGCCTTTCTTATAATATTTTGATAGTTTGATGACTAACATAAATGTTATTGTCACTGGCGTTTTCTGCCACGAACGCTGCTATTCTAATTCATGCTGCCATGTGGTGCCATGGAATGTTCTACTGCTACTATTTTATGTACTGCCACTGAGTTACATATGTAATACATGTAATTGCATAACATTTTTTGTTATTTGTTTGTTGGTTGACACAGAGAGAGCTATGCAAAATACTTGATATACTGTGTGAACTGGGGTAAATGAATATATACATTACTTAATTATTTTCTTTGTGCATGTGCCCGCCTGCCTGCCTTCGAGCGTGCGTGTGTGTGTGATACAATAGATGCCTGGCAGTGCAAGTAGCAAATATTTCAACCACCGATGAAGGAAGCATACCTATAAACAAAACTTTTCCTTAACCGTCGAAGACTCTTGATAACCTCATCCTCTCTGAATGACTTACTGACTGAGTTTGGTTTTACGCCGCTGTTAGCAATATTCCAGCAACATCACGGCGGGGGACACCAGAAATGGGCTTCACACATTGTACCCATGTGGGGATTCGAACCCAGGTCTTCGGCGTGACGAGCCAACGCTTTAACCATTAGGCTACCCCACCGCCCTCATCCTCTCTGGGCAGTGGGACAGCTTAGTAGTTAAAGCGTTCCTCATCACTGCAAAGACCCGTGTTCGATTCCCAACACGGGTACAGTATGAAGCCCATGTCTGGTGTCCCCGCCATGATAGTGCTGGAATAATGTACAACCATACTCTCTCACTCATCTCTCTATGTAACCAGTGTGGAGTCGATTTCGTGGAGACGATCATATCAGACAATATTTTAGTCGAACTTAAAAGGCCAAATGAAATGTACGTTCACAATAATATTATGACAAGACCCTATCCATAATCAAAAGATATGTCTCCAAATGCGATGCATTTGACAACAGTGACGAAAGGAGAAGTTCATGGAAAGTTGAGCGAATCCTGCCCCATCAATGACATCAGTCACAAAAACACGCGAAGGCAAGTCAATTGTTCAACTTATGGCATATTTCCAAATATGGCATTGTATAGGTCATTATATTTGTCGTTGTGTCAAATTTGGAAATGTCCTCAAGGTATCTACCAGAAAACATTTTGAATACTTTACTGCGACCTTGTTGTAACCCGAATAAAACAATCTTTGATCAAAACTCCTTTAACGCGATTTGAAATTGTCGTAGAAAGCACTTACTCGATTGTGTGTGCTTTAAAAATGCTTGAAGCTGCTCGAATTCTGGAGAAAAGGCAGAGTTGCCTTTTGCAATATCAAACCATCCCATTACCATTCATTCTTGTTGACAGATATTCGTCACTCCGAATATATATGTATACAGAGATAAAGACTGGTATGAAAAAATAGTTTCGTTTATCTTCTCTGGAAAATATTTTGTTTAAGGAGGTTGTCTATTTGACGATTATTGAACAGTATCAGATAATTCGATACACCCACAAGTTCACATAGTTTCTTTCTAAACTTTAGACGACATGTGCCCTTGTTGTTGACAAAAGGTCCTGGAACTTTGAACATAGGGATGTAACTACATCTATAACCACGCCCAGGAATGATATTAGATAACATGAGAGATAAATCCAAGGAATGAACCCCAGGTTGAGTGTTTTATTCGCCTTTTAACCGCCTTATGCTTTAACGTTATACACATTTATGTTCACTATTTCATAAACGGCAGACGGTCGACCAGTAATGTAAAAGGACGAGGAGGTCTTTGAAGCAAGACGTGGGCGATATTTGTCTTATGCATACGCCCTTCAATATCAATGCTTCCTCAATGAGAACTGGTTTAACTGTTTAATATAATAGTTTAATGTAATAATAATAGACAGCCAATTAAATCGTTGTTCACTTGCGCCAGGCCAACGTAGTTGAAGTTCATAAACAGACGAGGAGACAACATGATGTCCCACATCACCAAATTAAGAATTTGCAGCCAAACGCCAAGAGGGGTGGACAAGTCCCCTTCGAATTGTTATTGAAAAAGTCTATTCGTGCTGCATGTTGTGTCATATTACTAATCTTTGACCGTTGGGACTTGACCAGTTATCATTATTTTGGACTACAAAACACAGTGGTCTTCTTTGATGAACCCCAGAACACAACACCGCCAACATGTTTTGTCGACTATATATATATATATGTCAGGGTAGAGACTGCGATCTGGTAGAATCGGAGATCCTACTAGTAGAGATTGCAATCGTAGTCTCTACTGGTAGTACATATTGTAATTTATTGTTGTTTAAAACTACTAAGTTTAATGTTTCCCAGTTAACTGCTCAGTGCTGATTAAATACCTGACCTGCCTTACTTGGACCTGTTGTTATTAAACAATAACAGTTGATCTCTTGATGAAAGAAGTTGACTCCCAAAACATGTCCATGACTCCCTCTCATGACACCAGGGAGTCATGATGACTCCTAAATTTTTATGCCTAGGGCAAACACTGATTATGCAATTGATCTTGCTTGTAATCAGTTTTGTAATATATGTATATATTGTAATATGATCTCTCAAGTCACATTTGTATCTTTAGTCCTTATATATCTGTAGAAGTGGAAACAGTCTAGTGTTATATCTGAATAAATTGCACAGTGCTGTTCAGAAAAAGTGTCTTTGTTGTTTACCCACAGATCACTCGGAGTTTCTACCAGTTGAAGACGATTGCAGCCTCTACTAGTAGGATCGGAGTTTCTACCAGTTGAATTGGAAAATGTACTGGTAGAATCTCCGATTCAACCAGTAGAGACTACGATTACAATCTCTACTAGTAGGATCGGAGATTCTACCAGTAGAGACTCCGATCGCAGTCTCAATTGCATAATCAGTGTTTGCCCTAGGCATAAAAATTTAGGAGTCATCATGACTCCCTGGTGTCATGAGAGGGAGTCATGGACATGTTTTGGGGAGTCAACTTCTTTCATCAAGAGATCAACTTCTTTCATCAAGAGATTATTTAATCAGCACTGAGCAGTTAACTAAGTAGTAGTTTTAAACAACAATAATCGCTAGAGACTACGATCTCTACTGTTAGAGACTCCGATCGCAGTCTCTACCCTGAGATATATATTACTTTACATCTAAGTACATATTTGTATCCACCCAACCCGTATAGGTCCGGGTTAGAATTGATCTTCAGCAACCCATGCTTGCCGTAAGAGGCATATCAGGGGATTGGGTGGGCAGGCTCGTTGACTTGGTTGATGCGTGTCATGGTATCCCAATTGCGGAATATAGCTGAAATATTGCTCAGTGCGGCGTCTCTCTCTCTCTCTCTCTCTCTCTCTCTCTCTCTCTCTCTCTCTCTCTCTCTCTCTCTCTCTCTCTCTCTCTCTCTCTCTCTCTCTCTCTCTCTCTCTCTCTCTCTCTCTCTCTCTCTCTCTCTCTCTCTCTCTCTCTCTCTCTCTCTCTCTCTCTCTCCTCCCTCTCTCTCTCTCTCCTCCAATCTGTGATTGCTGACTTTAAACGTGTACGCTAATAAAAATGCCCATAACTGTCGTCAGCCAAGATTCCACGAATATCTTCACTTCACTTCGATTTGGTAACACAAATAATGGGTAGAATGCACACCCAAAACATAATTGTGTACGTTCCGAGAATTTTAAAGGTAAATATCTTTATTGCAGACTTATCCCACGATATTAGGAAGTAGTGGCAGGTTGGTAACAGTTGGGTTGTGTCCCGTGGCTAGACCACCGCCAGATGTCGCGCCGTTTCCGGAAACTTCGTTTATCCAGTTATTGACGATCTTCTCTAAGAGGTTTAGAGGGACTGGACCATTCTCCAGAATCTGGCTATGGAAGTCTCCTATATCGAATTTGGAACCTGAAATGATGAACATTGTTGTAAGTGAAGTATGTATTGTACATCATATACTTACAAACTCTGCAAAAACAAAGAAACTACACCTTTTCTAAAATCTCTGAATAACGACAATTTCGCTTTTAGGGACAGTTAAGGGGTATACCTTTCTTTCCACGGTGTGATAAGATCTAACATCAAAATTGAAGAGAATTCCAGAAGCCTGCAGTGCAGTTTTACATGTTGCTAGTCAATTCAATCCAGGCCAGATCTACCTTGGATGTTGTCTTCCTTTTGGGAGAAGAATATTTTATGATAAATGTCAATAAATGAAATATCTGGGACGAACCAAGTTTGTCCATCGCAGTCTTTCGAAGTTCTTTTATTTTAAGTTCTCCAATCTTGTATGCACATGCTTGTCCCGGCCACGTGATGTAACGGTCAATTTCAATCTCGATCTCACTCCTGCTCATCGGGGTGCGGTCAGCCATGTACGTAATGGCCTGCAGACGTGTCCATCTGTGTTGTAATACAAATCAAACATGAAACTGTCCAGAGGACTTACAGATCTCAGGATCAACTACCAGCCGACTGTCCTCATACCCAGTGGAGACATGTGCCCCAAGCCACATTAATTTTTGTTCCTGTTTAACGTCGCCGCCAGCAATTTTCAAGCAAAAAGACGGCGGTCTGCAATTAATGGAGTCTTGACCAGACAATCCAGTGAGTGACACTGGGTCAACGATCTACGCAATTGGCCATGGGATACGATGACATGCATCAATTGTCAGCGATCCTGACCACCCGATCGCCTCTTACGACAAGTAGGGGTTGCTGAAGATCTAACCCGGATCTTCACGGGTGTCCCAAGGCAAAGGCACATCTACATAACCCTTACATTTTTACCTCGAACTGAAGAAGGAGGCGAAAATTATTCAAGCAGACCTACCAAGTCAACCGGACCCTTAGCTCAGCGCACGGAAGCTGTCTGCCCTTAATTACTACGGGGGCAGTGATGCAAGATGACATCAAAGAACTATTTATGGAGACTGGCCAGTTATTAGGTACAGTCACAGTTAAAGGTCATTCTCAATTTGTTGTGTATTCAGTGACACTGTGAACTAGTTGCGTTACACGAGTGAGTGAGTGAGTGAGTAGGGTGTAACGCCGCTTTTAGCAATATATCAGCAATATCACGACAGGACACCAGAAATGGGCTCAACACATTGTACCCATGTGTGAAAGTTAAACCGGGTCTTCAGCGTGACGAGCCAATGCTTTAACCACAACTCTACCCCACCGTCTCTTTTCGGAATGACAGAACATGCATATTGTGTGTTTAGTATTTCGTGGCTGTTTTGTTGGGTTTGGGTTATTTGTACTTTATTGGTTATATATTTAATTAAACGTATGTTGTATTCACCAATTCTCTCTGATACCAAAGAAAACCATTAGAGAGCAACAAAACTGTGGCATGTGCACACAAATTACAAAAAAGGACGAAAATCCTAGTTAACTTTGCTTCGTTGTGATTAACCCCAAGCATATTTGCAGTGGATAAATCAGCACTAAAAATTGGTTTGTTACCGTCTGTTGTGTCCTGTTTGTAATTTGTGTGCCTATTTGTGTTTCAGCGTATACATATTCCACAGTTTGGTTACTCTCCTGGTTTTTTTCTGTAGCGCTACATCATGTGATAGTGGAGTACACAATCCAGAGAAACGAGAACCTTCACTGACAGCTTGTTCTGTACTTCCCACCAAACCAGTGGTACTTGGGGAAAGTCTGATTGATAGAGTTACTGTCTTTTGTTAAGATACCAGAGACATGTCCTCATCCTTCTAATGTGACAGACACCTCCATCATCACATCTATGTGTTCAGAGAGGGTATAATCTTCGAAGCTTGGGGAGACTGTTAACTCTACCTTGTAATATATTTCTCCAGTGACATATACTTGAGGCTACCACCGCCGACGTTGATGGTCCATCTGTTGTTCAGTGATGTACACAGATACATTACGATAACACTACATGTCTGCTGATACATTGAAGACATTGCAGGAACTCACCCAAAGTAATGTAGTCCCGTGTCAACTACTAGTCTGCACGCACGGAATATCTCTTCCCCATATCGACCAAGCCTGAAAAACGAAAGAAAAACATGGACACAAAATTCATAAGCGTAGTGAGATTTAACGCCAGCATCCCAGTTACATGACGGCGTGTCAGTCTAATGCGGGAAGAAGCCCGAAGTGATGCAGGTATCACATGTTTACCACATTGGTGAACCCATGAGCACGGGTATGGAATGACAAATTTCGAATTCTGGCGTATCCAAGGGACGCAACTCGCACAACGAATTGCTGCACCTCGGCGGCTGGGCTACCCACGCCCTTTAGCCTTGCTCCAAGGCTGTACTGAAGAAGCCCATGGATGTATAGTAATTCTATCCTTTAAAGGGGCAAGTTCAAATAAGCGGACAGTACATGACGCCTGTCTGTCGGAGGGATATCTATTCTTTTTAGAAATTATCATTTAAACTATTAATTTAATTTTACCTTAGGGACTTGTGCAAGTCTACCCACGCCCCCTACGTCCTAGTCTAGCAATTACAAAACTCCTGCATTCTCACCAATGGTTGCATGCCTATCAAACTACGAAAGATGCAATTGACATTTCACAATGTCTATCTGCCATATATGACTATATTCATACTAACAGCTCATCATCGTCTTTATAGATACCCAAGTATTCTCCTAAGGATTCAGCATAAAGACCCCATCCCTGAAATGGAAAACACGACAAAATATACCTTTGTCAAGGCGTCACAGGGAGAACACATGTACAGTGGCGATTCACTGCACAAGTCACGGTGCAATCTCAACATCTGACTGATAAACAATATCTCCACGATGTTCTCAGACTGAAAACCGGGCTTCAACAGGTCAACATTTGCCGTACGTATGGATGTTGCATATATGGTTACAAGAAAATGCAAATATGTGAGTTTTGAATCTTTCAAATTGTTTTTCAAATCCCTGAAAGATATCAATTTTCAATTTGTAGATGAGCGAATTGTTTCAATATTTTTAAATCTAACTTCATCCAAGATTAATAGGCAAACGCGCGGTATAAATTTATGGATGGATAGCTGAAAGTTATTGGTGACACCACGTGGAAGCGTTGTAGTCCAGTAACTGTTGGAACAATACCAGTATACATACTATTCTTTGTTGTTCAACAAAGTGAATGATCGAATTGCGTTATTCTTACTTGGATGTCGACCCCACGAAGCTACTCACCTCAGTATAGGCCGTGTAAAACGGAAAGTGGTATGGAACCGCAAAGTATTTCTCATATTCAATATTCCTCTGGAAGTCGGGCAGACTGGCAGTGAGAGCGTACACCGACTGAAATGGTGGAGAACAGAAGGTATTCACTCATCATATGGAAGGGAGTGTTGTTATACATGTACCCGCGATCTGAGAAATGGTCCATTCCCCTAATGACAGCTACACACCTGTAAATGATGACCAGGTACCGTCTCGTGAAGAGTCAATGCCATCATGCTGAACGTGTTCCTGAAAGAAAACATCAACGGAAATGAGAATAGGATTCTCCTCTTAAGAAGAGGGGTGGTGGGGTAGCATAGTGGTTAAAGCGTTCGCTCGTAACGCCGAAGGCCCGAGTTCGATTCCCCAAATGGGCACAATGTGTTAAGCCCATTTCTGGTGTCTCCGCTGGAATATTGCAAAAAGCGGTGTAAAACTAAACTCACTCACTCAGTCCTGTGTGACATCATTGAAAAAGTTTCCAAATGTCTAATAGTAAACATGTTGAGGACATTTCAAAATTCAACACAATACTGGCCAGACTAGTGTTTTACGTTGCTGTTCGTGTCAGCTGAACACTTGACTTGCCTTTTCATGTGTTTGTGGCACATGTCTGTTAGGGACGCTACACCACGAATCATCACAATTTGACAGTGAATCATAAACAAATGCTTATAGCACATTCGGAATCACACAGTTGATTATAGCATGCTAATCACGTATTTTTGTGAACTTACGTTTCGTTTGGCCTCATGAGGTTGACCTGGAACACCCCCTGTCGCGATCCGTCAGCTGTCCCCGATATGTACATCCCCCTGGTCCGTCATTAGGCATGGCCTCCACACTGGTGACAGAGGCAACAAGTAGAGTCATATTGTAAGTTGAGAGTAACTACTGCTTCCAACAATGCAATACAAACGACGCCTCAATAATCGCGCCTGTGACGCGAGGTATTCGCGCCCTTGTCGGAACATTGACGAAACATTTCCATTAACTGCAGACTTTTTCACTGAACAAAGATTCAAATAACAATATAATACCTTTATCTTCTGCAACTGCCACAGAAGCTAATACCACTACATCCACCATTTTCACAAATCACCAGTAAACACGTTGTGTAAGTTATATAAATTGAGCGGTAAAACATATAAATGTTCTCCGATTTGGCGTGTCACATTCTAGTCGTATGTATGATATTTAGGAAGTTTAACTATGGTTTAGACCGAGATGAGGGAGATGACAGGTCCAGGGATGTTGATAGATAATGACAGGTGTTGATCCGTTCAGTTGAATCTGCCAAACACAATGCAGCACTACAAGGTTCAACGCCATTTCATGGTGGCCATTTGTTGTTGGTTTGTGTGCTGTTTAAAGCCACACTCAATATTCCAGCTGCATAAAGATGGTGCGTAACTTAAACTTTATTCTTATACTACAGGGACGGTGGGGTAGCCTAGTGGTTAAAGCGCTGGCTTGTCACGCCGAAGACCCGGGTTCGAATCCCCACATGGGTACATTGTGTGAAGCCCATTTCTGGTGTCCCCCGCCGTGATGTTGCTGGAATATTGCTAAAAGCGGCGTAAAACCAAACTCAGTCAGTCAGTCTTATACTACATTTCCATTAGGACATGCACAATGCGTAGCATGAAGGCAATGGATATCATGAGTGAGTGGGTGAGTTTAGTTTTACGCCGCGCGTTGTATCAACACTGGGGCCAGTCTGTTTCAAGCAGAACTGCAAAAGGTGAGTGACTTTGGTTTTATGCCGCACTCAGCAATATTCCATCTGTATGGCGGTGGTCTGTAGATACTCGAGACTGGACCAGACAATCCAGTGATAGAAATCAGGAGCATCCTAACACGTAATTGGGATACGAAGACAGGCATAACCAAGACAGTGGGTGTGACCACTCGATCCCGACAAGCATGTTATGCCAAGACTGGGTTGCCGAAGACCAATTCTATCCCGAAATTTTCTCTGGTAGTCTCATTGTTAGAGTGATCAACAGTTACAGTTTCTTACGTGACATTGAGGTTTGGTATATTCTTGAATGCCCTCGACAGTTGTGGGTATATTCTGTCATATATCATGTGCTGGTATTCCTTCAGGAGTTGATCCTAAAACAGAAACGCGGTATTACAATTTTAATCTTTTCATGGGATCGTATAAATTGAGTGCAAAAGATGGAGACTTTCTCCAAAGCACCTTTCAAGAACATGTGTAGGTTTCGATCCACGACCTCTTATAGTCACTTGTAATACAAAGCTAACCGATCGCTTATAGAGAAGGGTGATGCTTGATATCATAAAAGGACAACCTTGGTTACGTGTTAAGTTGCATACATGTATTTGAAAATATATTAATAAATTGTCATATTGTATCTAGATTGTGTTTACATGCTTTCCATTTTGGCCAAAGATAACGATTATTAAGGGGATGATCCATGATCAGCTCTACAGATTACACCGGTGTTAAAGATATAAAGTTATAAAGAGCCGATGTTCACTGTACTTAAATCACCCCCAACTTACGGCGCTGTTCAGATGAAACTGGGGCTGCTCTTTCAACTGTTTGTAGAATTCCGCAAGGGTCCCATTATAATTTCTTTTCCGCATTATCTAAAAGTAATTCATTCATAAAGGTAGTTTGATACTTAGTTTGGAAATGTACATAAGGTGAAGGTGATGTGTTGTACCTTTAAGGTTTTACAGTTTGACAGACACCTTTTGTCTTTTGTGGTAAAATTAAAATGATGGCAGTCTTCTTAACCTGACTGATTATGTGCTTTATATAACATTGATGGTCTATGTTCATAATATAAGGACCAGAGAGAAATAACATTGATTTCATAAACACATCACTGCTATGAATATGCTTTTAAAAATCAAATATATTTAAGCACTGAAACATGGGTAAATTTACGGCATTACGGTATAGTAGGTTATTAAGTTAAGATTAATATGCCTGGATTTCAAGGTTTGATGGGGCAGTTAATAAATTCCTATTTTAATGACTTGACATTCTCAGACTTATGTGCTTGAAATTGGTATGTATTAACTCAGTTATATGAAACTGTAACTGACACCCTCACGGGTATTCTGAACTCATGTCAGACAAAAGATTCAACAACCCTCGCACTTCCATTAATCGCATTCGCTTACCAATTTCAACGAGAGAGTGGTTTGATTGAGATGGAGGGCTCTTCATGACATAATTCGGCTGTGAACTTTTGCACAGGTATTTATCTTATGAGGTTCATGATGAAAATAAGACGTTCTGAAGTTTTCTGAAGGTGCCAAGGGTGTATGACATGATCTTTATCAGAGTGACATATCAAATCTGCCCAGACAATAGATTCCATCCCAATCCCACTTCAGCCCTCTGTTTCAAATTTCAGCCGATATCATCTATGCGTAGGACCGTGAAGGGTAGCTGGCATACAGCGCTTAAGTTGATACAGTGGTTGTTCAGAGAGCCTCCCCTTGAAATAATGAACTGTATTAATAATGATTATCATTATCCTACTATCTGTATCTCTGAGCTGATCCGCGCCACTTCCTCCTTGCCCTTCTCATGTACTTCCTCTGGGGTGAGATCCACTGAGATGTGCCACTTGAGGCAGGCCCTGTACAGGTCTATTCCTTTAGACAGCCCCAACACACCGTACGTGGTACGTGTCTGGGACATGTAGTCCTGCAAGAGAACATGGCATGTGACTCAACTCTCTCCCATTTTATGGCGCTCACTTGGATGTGTTCATGACGTCAAGTGAGTGACGTCAGTAGGTGTACTATTGTAAAACAAAACATGGCACGTGACACAACACAGTGTTGATGAGTGACGTCAGTAGGTGTTGATGAGTGACGTCAGTGAGTGTTGATGAGTGACGTCAGTGAGTGTTGATGAGTGACGTCAGTACATGTTGATGAGTGACGTCAGTAGGTGTTGAGAAGTGACGTCAGTAGGTGTTGATGAGTGACGTCAGTAGGTGTTGATGAGTGACGTCAGTAAGTGTTGATGAGTGACGTCAGTACGTGTTGATGAGTGACGTCAGTTTAAGTGTTGATGAGTGACGTCAGTATGTGTTCATGTATAAGTGAGTGATGATGTGTGACGTCAGTAGGTGTTGAGTGACATTAGTAGGTGTTGATGAGTGACGTCTGTAGGTGTTGAGTGACGTCAATAAGCGTTGATGAGTGACGTCAGTAGGTGTCGATGAGTGACATTAGTAGGTGTTGATGAGTGACGTCAGTAGGTGTTGCTGTGTGACGTCAGTGGGAGTAAATGAATAGTGTGGATTAGAAAGATGGCTCAGTGACGCACATAGGGGTCACAGTTCTCTAACCTACATTACATCCCAACCACTGCCGTCAGATAGCGGGTGTTACAAACAAAAAACGAAGATTTGAAGGCTTGTTGTTTCAAAAAGCTTTCATGCTGTTTTAAAAGACGCCATTGCAGGGGCATCCAAATATGTACAATGTGCTGGTACACACATTGGACACGTGGCAATCACGGGATAAGAGAACCAAAACATTCCACAAAAATACAGACTGGACAAAGCCGTGGTAAAGTGGACAAGCATAAACACGTCATTGTCAACAACGTCCATCAGATTATCATAATTTGCATTCAGACATTGTGTCATCATCAAGCCGAATAAAGTTACCTAAAAGATTCTGAAAGTTGGCATTCGTTTCAATGTACATTTTGTGAAGTATACGTGGCTACCTGTTCTATGTAATCCTTGATTCTCTTGAATGCATGCAGCAGATTCACCACAGCCTGTCGACCACGAGTCCGCAGATCTGCCCTGGAAGTCGAATAGAGAAACGTCATGTAGACAACTGTGTCAACTTTACAATAGTGTGTCACGCTGTAGTCAACCGTATTACCCTCGAGTGAGTGAGTTTAGTTTTACGCCGCACTCAGTAATATTCCAGCTATATGGCGGCGGTCTGTAAATAATCGATTCTGGACCAGACAATCCAGTGATGAACAGCATGAGCATCGATCTGCGCAATTGAGAACTGATGACATGTGTCACCCAGCCAGCGAGCCTGGCCACCCGATCCCGTTAGTCGCCTCTTACGACAAGCATCGGTTACTGAAGATTCATTCTAACCTTCACGGGTTTATTACCCTCGACATCATGTTGGTAATGTCTTCGTGATACGAAACATCGTGAAAGTCTCCTACGTATAATAATTATTGAATGTCTAGTATCCTTTAGTTATCATACGTCCTTTATAATCAGTCATCACCTTTACACATATCTTTGAAGTTTGTTCTCACATTAGCTGACTAAATCCTACTTACTAACTGCTATATTGGAAGAGCTAGTGAATGGGTTAGAGGGTATTAACATCAAGTGTCATATCAATGTGGAGTAGAGACCGCGTGACACATTTAAAGGTGGTAGATAGTTTCAGGGTAGTGTACAAGGCAACGACAATAGCTACGACTATCGTAAGTCTGTATGAAAGTGTGGGACATTACTCTCGCCTTGTGCATCGGTGCTTTGACAGGCTGATATATCCAGTCCGAATCTGAGATTCTAACGCAATATCACCGGATTATGGAACCCAACTCTTGACTACTGGGCCATTGGCCACCGTAATCTGAGATACTGCCTGAGGGTAAACATTTCATGATTATTTGTTACTGTTCTATTATATCGTTTCGCATACTTGTCACTGGTAGAGATGGTCAGCTTGTCAAGGTCAGCGGTCAATGGCTTGTAGAAGGCTGATGTCTCTGGGTTTGCCACCAGCAGCTGCTGAATCTGTCCTGGGAGTTTGTCCTGGAAGTCAGGATGTACATATAGCACCAGATCAGGGACAGCTCATAAAGTTACCGTAGTCGTTACATAACTGTCTATATCTTTGACATTTGTTTCTTCAAAATAAAGGCAAGCTTCATTTTGCTCACTGTGCATTTTCTACTTCTAATCCGATGCAGTTTAAATGTTATTTTGAATAGACAAGAGCCTGAATGCAAGTTGCTTAACAAGGAATTACATGTTTCATGACGTGAAACAAAAGTAGACAGAACTGTCTGTCGTGTCTCTTTGTTATCAAGATCTTCCAAAAGCAGTAAAACGTAGCACGTGCCTCTGGATATTGGTGTAGGTACTACCGTGGTACCACATTATTCAACCTCTTTTAAACTATGATACAAAGATATGTTTTGCCTGTGACGCGTAATCTTGTATGTGTTCTTACCACTGATACCCGATGATACGTATGTCCGTTCTTGGTCGCTTCCTTGAACCGTGTGATGTACTGGTCAAACTGGAACATATTGTGTACATACGAGCGTTTACTTTATCAGAACGTATATTGGATGTTATGGTTAATTATATCTGAAAAAACTAAGAATTACAATGCAATAAACCTAACGTCCTCTTATGGTAATGATAATCTTTATTAATAATACAATAAACCTAACGTCTCCTTATGGTAATGATAATCTTTATTAATATTACAATAAACCTAACGTCTCCTTATGGTAATGATAATCTTTATTAATATTACAATAAACCTAACGTCTCCTTATGGTAATGATAATCTTTATTAATAATACAATAAACCTAACGTCTCCTTATGGTAATGATAATCTTTATTAATAATACAATAAACCTAACGTCTCCTTATGGTAATGATAATCTTTATTAATTCTACAATATTGCTTACAAATTTTGTAGAAATATCTTCGAATGGCACTAAGAAAAAGTGATACACAAAGAGGAGGAAATTTATGGAGGTTTCAGAGTATATTCTTACTTACGTTCGCCTCATAGAAAGAATGATGGAACCAGGACAGATCTCTGCTAAACAGGTTTTCTGTTTTGAACGTTTTGAAAGCTTATGAAAGCGTTGACTATAATAGCCGTTATGAAACAACTTGTGAGTGAGATTCATATGGGTTTCTTTAAACTTTTGGTGGACAGCACATGTTCCATTGTACCTCAAAAGTTCCAAAAAGTAAACAAAGGCTGGAGATCCTGGATCATGGCTGGACAAATGAAACTTGATCATTGCAAAGACGAAGTCCACAGCTCTTTTAAGTTGCTTTTAACGAACCCGTGAAGATCCGGGTTAGAGTAACCCATGTTTGTCGTAAGAGGCGACTAAATGAATGATCAGGTTCGCTGACTTGGTTGACACATGTCATTGTATCCACATTGCGTAGATCGATGCTCATGATGCTGATCACTGGATTGTCTGATCCATACTGGATTATTTACAGACCGCGGGCCATACAGTTGAAATATTGCTGAGTGCGGCGTGAAACAACCAACCAACCAATGCTTCTATAACGACAGGGCGGTGGGGTAGCCTAGTGGGTAAAGCGTTCGCTCGTCACGCCGAAGGCCCGGGTTCGATTCCCCACATGGGTAAAATGTTTGAAGCCCATTTCTGGTGTCCCCCGCCGTGATATTGCTGGAATATTGCTAAAAGCGGCGTAAAATCAAACTCACTCACTCACTCACTCACTCTATAACGACATATAACAACAATCAGATCAACACGCCGTAAACTCCAGCTTACCTTAGTCGGCCACAGCTGCAACCGGG